ACTAAATCCCCAAGAGATTACAAAGAGTTTAGCTGTTGCAGAGCTGAAGTCAAGAAATTAATTGCATTGGCTCTTGAAAATTATACTAAGGCTGTTGAATCAAATGTGATTGAAGATCCCAAGTCATTCTGGAGATTTATTAATAGTAACAGAGTCAATAGAGAACCATCAGGTATTATTGAGAACGGAGAGGTACTACCGCCGGATAGGAGTGTTAAAGCATTTGCCGAGTATTTTAGCTCTGTTTATGTTAGGCAAAAGCCAAAGCTCGACGTCAGCGCAGCTGTTGCCGGAGCGGGTTGTTCAAACGGGGCTGCAAGAGTCCACGTTGGGAGCTTACAGTTAAGCGATATACAGGAGGCACTTAAGCGACTTAAGCCAAAAAAGGCAGCAGGCCCGGACGGTATACCGCCTTATATCTTGAGAGATTGTGGCGTTGTACTTGCTGAACCACTGCTACACATATATAACCTGTGTCTGAAAGCAGCAACATTTCCCACATGTTGGAAAAGTAGTCGGGTAATTCCAGTTCCTAAAGTAGGATGCCGCGATAAAGTAGAACAGCATAGGCCGATAGCTATATTGTCAAGTCCGGCGAAGGTGTTGGAAACGGCACTTCAAAAGTGCATACTTAATCAAGTGAGTTCCCAACTCTCAGAAGCTCAACACGGGTTTCGGTCTACGAGGAGTACCACTAGCAACCTCTTAAATTATATGGCTAATATTAGCCCAGTAGTGGATAGTGGAAAGCAGGTGGACGCTGCCTATTTCGATATTAAAAAAAGCGTTTGATTTGGTCGATAACGACGTGCTTTTGCAGAAGTTTGCACAGGTAGGATTCACTCCACACTTATTGAACTTCATGGCTAGCTTTATGGAAGATCGAACGCAATACGTGGAATACGCTGGGTGTAGGTCAGAAGCTTACTTTACGAGATCAGGCGTGACACAGGGCAGTAATTTGGGACCGATGGAATTTATGATAATGCTGAATGACCTACCAAAAGTTGTCAAGAATGCAAAGTGCTTGCTCTTCGCTGATGATATCAAACTTTACATGCCCATAGAAAGTACAGACGACTGTATGCGGCTGCAGGAAGACATTGATCGAGTGGTAAATTGGAGCAGGAGAAATAGATTAGAGTTTAATTTGGCGAAATGCAAAGTCATATCTTTCTCGAGAGCACGATTTCCCACTCGATACAATTATACTATTAGTGGTCTAGTGTTAGCTAGAGTATCGGAGGTTAAAGATCTAGGAATATATTTTAATGCCAATCTTGGGTTTGCGCAACACGTCGATAAGACTTGCAAAAAGGCATACAGAAATTTAGGGTTCATATTGCGAATAGCTTGTGGCTTCACAAATATCAATGCGATTAAAATCTTATACAATGCGTTAGTCAGAAGTCACTTGGAGTGCAATGCAATGGTGTGGGCCCCATATGAGGCTAAATACAGTCTCATGCTAGAGCGAATACAAAATAAATTCACCCGGTACCTCTACATGAGACTGTATGGAGTGTATCCTTTGTATCCACTTATGTACCCGACCCTGTTTGTTCTGGGTATGGTGGGATATGACCAGCTACGCCTCAGAAGAGAGCTAGCCTTGTCGGTGTATATATTTAAGATACTTACGGGTCGGGTTCATAATCCGGACATAATGGAGAGACTGAGTCTACGGGTACCAAGTAGAAACCTGAGGCGGAAGTCTCAACTTTTGGATGTACCGCGCGCACATTCCAACTTGGTTAGCGAAGCACCACTCACGCGAGCAATACACATAATAAATAAGATTTCTATTAAGGTAGACTTATTTGTTTGTACACTGGCTGAGTTCACAATAGTTGCTTCCTATGTTATTAGTTATAAGATTTAGGCACATAAATATATTTCTGTTAATGTTTTGTATTTAGGTTAATTGGTGTGGGTAAAATATTCTTTTGTTCTATCGAATTAGTTATCACTGTAAAGGTAGAATAATTATATGGAAATAAATAAAATAAAAATAAAATAAAAAAACTAATACATAGACGCCATTGCCTCTTTCTTAAGGGTCTCTAAACGATCCAGGTAACCCTAATGAAACAAATATAAAAAGAATAATGATGCATATAAATTAGTAATCTTAGTATAATTTAATCGATGACTGTGTAATAAAGTGTTTAAGCTTTATAGGAATTATATTTAACAACGATTGGCGGACATTGCCAATGACGTCATTAGTTTGTTGGTCACAAAAACATATTGAAATTCAAATTAGATTTAATTATATTTTATTGTATGTTACTTATGATACTGGTACGTAAATGTTAGTTTAGAGGTTATATATAAGGGCATGAACCTATCGGGCCATTTATTGGATGTTTGTGCCAAAAATAAAGCGATTCAATAATCATATAAACAAAATAATACATTCTGTTAATATGCGAGGTTTTTGTGCATTTTGGATTTATTATATTTTTGTTAAAAAGGAATTTAATGACACACGGGAAGTCGCTCTTTCCTTTGTTCAAATACTAAAAAATCATTTGTTTTTCGTTTAGAAAGACTATTTTTTTTTGTTATTATGATTAATTGCTTCATGGATGGTGTTCTGGTAAACAAAGTGAGAAATTGTGGCGTAGAGTTTCTTGCAATTGATTTGGAAACTGTAAATTCAATTGAATTATTAAGTAAGAATGTGAACAACATCGACATGAACAAATGAATTTTTAAACTACACAATGCTTCAAACAGAAAAAGTTTTTAATCAAATCCTCCTGCTTTATCTTTACTGAATATGGGATGGGATAACCCAAATTATTTATCACAAATGTGCTGCTTATTTTTTGTAGTTATTAATCCAGTGCCACAACTTTTAAAGACGCGTAGGTAATTCTGCTGTCTGATGTTTTTTGTAGTGATCATTCTCTAGATTCGTTTGAAAAATAGAATTATACGCAATTGAGGAAAATAACTTTATTCATAAACGGGTAACAACTCGAACTCGTTATTATCTTACATATAATTGACGCACATACTCATTTAATAGTCTTTAATATGCTTGTTATAAATGTAAGCCAATGTACGGAAAAATACGATTTTTATAACCTTAAATTTATCGTTAAAACACCTTAAAATAAATAGCATATGCACACTTAAGGCTTGCAGACGATCTGATTTTAGTTGCCTCAACACGCGATGAAATGGAGAAGATGGTCACAGACCTTGACTCTGAAAGCAGGATTGATTGAAGTCTTCTAATTCTATTCTCTGCAGTGCAGATCGGTGGCAAGACCCAGTCTTGGTTTAATGCCTAGACAGAAGCGACGAAATCCTGTGATGCTACTATCGGCGAACGATAAAAGGATACAACACTTCCAGGTTCTTCAAACGGAAAATCGCTAAAGCGAAGTCAGAGCACATTGCCAGATTTGCCGAGATATTGGCCCGCCTCCCTTCGGGGACCCGAGCCTTCTGGTCTCTCGTCAAGCTATCCACAGGGTCCCCCCTGGCTCGCTGACCCACACCGCTTCTCCGTGCGGTAAAAGGCGATCCTTTCATCCTCCCAATTGTGCTGCGTACTTGTGCTCTTATGTTGGCTCCGATCCTAATGCGCTTTTTCCGGTACCGGTACTCGCTCAGTGCTGGAAGACCGCTTCAACCTTCAACTACGATTATTCGTAAGACTTTCGTCGTGGTCGGTTGGTGATCTTCTTGTATATGTTACCATACCCATAGATGGGCAGAGGCAATTGAGTACAAGGGGGAGGCGCTAGCGGTTAGTTTGGTTAAAACGAAAGCCTTCGATCGGGTGTGGCCTCAAGCGCTTCTCTCGAAGCTTCCAGCCTATGGCCTTCCTGAGAAATTATGCGACTGGATTTCCAGCTTTCTGCCCGATTGAAGCATCAAGGACTTTAAACCCAAAAACGCTGGAGCAACGCCTATCTATCAACAACCCTGCTGGTTTTGTTTATCAGAGATATGTTGCAAATTAGCAACATCCATTATAATGATATAGCACTGCGAACATTCTATACACTGGCCGTGCAGGTATTTGCCCGGTGCAACTGTCGATCAGTATCGGAACAAACTTGTGTCATTCTAAGTTTTTATTTGACTTGTTCTAAGATGTTGTTTAGGATTGTGATTAAAATTCTAGGCCGAACCAAAACGTGTACAAAAGCCATTAAAAACAATGTCAACCCATAATGAATGTAATTATAAATAAGAATGGAGGCTTTATGTAACGAGCGTTGTTTGCGACACTAAGCTTTCATTAACCTTAGCAAAGGTATCAAGCTTCTCACGTGTAATTAATTACTACTATTCACTGAGTCACTGATCGCTTTTGACACTTGCGATCTTATGAACAATTCTTCTACGTCATATCTGCTCTCCATAAATACTATAGGGTGGGTAATGATCGAAAAAGTACATGAGAAGATAGAACTTTATTTGAATTTTTTAACATAGCCTTTTCCTATGTACTCGTGTACCCATTTACACTGTGATTAAAAACTATACTTAGAAAAGATTAATTTTTAGAGGATTTTTGTTAAAATAAATCAGTTATGCTGTAAATTAATAATTTATAGAACTTTATCTGTATAGGCCAAAAATGTTACCGTTTCTGATTTTTTACAAAAAAAAATCACACGAATTATATAGATAGTCTATCCACATTCTTGTACCGATTCATCTAAAATAGTCTTCTGCCTCTTTTCATCAAAGCGCAAACATAATTTGACAGAAAAAGTACTTTAGTTAGAGTGTAATAATACTGATTTAGTATTTATGAACAAGAAGTTTGACCTTCAACCTTATTACTAAATAAAGAATAAAAAAGTATTTGGTATATTACTCGAACAAGTTCCGATCACGCAAACTACATTATTCATATCAATTTCTTCATGAATCATGTACAACTCCATTTCTTTAATTGAAAACTCAATAAAACGATCGACATTCAAACTGACCCAGTTTTCTATTGAAAACCATTTCGCCATCAAAGCATGACGCTCCTCAAATTATCCATCGTATTAATTTTTATTACAATGGCTAAAACGCAAAACTTCACGTGCGAGGATCTGCTTGACATATCCGATAATAAAAACTCGATCTCATTACCTAGATTACAAACAATGCAACGTAAAGATATAATTACTTGTTTAGTTCACCTTGGCAAGAAGCCGTTGCGTTCTCTCGAGGCCGATTACATTTGGCACTCAATTAAAATATTTTACGGCGACATCGCGAATATTCCAGAAAGTATACTGGCAGCGTTGCAGTGGGTTACACCAGCTATACAAGCTGAAGAGTATTATAATATAACGCTGGGTAGTATTGATGTGATTCAAAATTTTGGTAAGGACTATGTGCTGAACGAAAATCAACTAACAGCTGTCGCTGAACGTGTAAGAGATGACTTTAAAGAACCGGAAGATTTCACCTTCTATGACTTGGTTGCTTTAAAGCAAATTCTATGTGCTTTTAATGGAAGCGAAATAGAAAGAATTCACGCTAAAGCATACAAGGCAGCGTTTGTTGAAATTGGTGAATTGAAGAGATGCAGTACCGATGTGTTGCAGGGATTTCTTAAATTGGCAACAGACAGTTCGGCTTTTGGACCACCAGATAACTGGGATAATGTAGTTTTGTGTTCTATCGGCGCCCTGGGAGAGATATTGCCTAAAAAAATACAAGATAAGATTAGTAAAGCTAAGAGGGAACTGAAATCTTTGACGCCCTAAATTCTTTGTGCAAATTACGTAACTTTAAATTGTGATTTGTCCTTGTAGTATGCTATAACTTATAAAGAACACATCATTTTATTTTTATATAATACGAATTTTATTAGCCTAACTCTGACCTTGGTGTTATCTGTTGTTTTTATAACAACTATATTATATAATAATAAATAAAATTGTTTTATTAATAAAGAATAATTAACTTAAGAGAATCCCATAAAATTTCTTAGTTTAATAAACTCACACAATGCCATTTCCGTATTTTAATGAACAATATAAATACCACACTGGTATTAGTTACAACCTACTTCATATATGTAAATTGCACTTGACTCAACATACTTGCTGGAAAACCAGATTTCAAATATAAATTCTGCAAAGTCACAAGATAAACAAAGAATGATTAGTTCCTACTAGAATTCGTCTCTATTACATTACTCCATTGAGTTTGTTACGGTTGAGTTAGTTTAGAAACTAGTATGAAGAGCGAATCTCAGATTTTAATTAAATCAGATGGCATAAGATCCATTGTGATTTCTACTGTAACGTTATCTATTTATTAAGTACACTCACTGTTCGCAAATGAACTCGATTTGTCACTATGCACACATAAAAGCGTGCATTTTACGCTCGAACGGTGAAGGAAATAATCATGAACCGGCTTGCCTTAGACCCAAAAAGTTGACGACGTGTGTCAGGCATAAGTGGATGATCACCTGATCGCCTGTTGACAAATGATCATGAAACAGATAGATGAATTACTGATTAATTCTATTTATTTATACAGGATCTGAAGCCACTGATTTATTTTATTTATACAGGATCTGCAGCCACTGATTTATTTTATTTATACAGGATCTGCAGCCACTGATTTATTTTATTTATTTATACAGGATCTGAAGCCACTGATTTATTTTATTTATACAGGATCTGAAGCCACTGATTTATTTTATTTATACAGGATCTGCAGCCACTCATTTATTTTATTTATACAGGATCTGCAGCCACTGATTTATTTTATTTATTTATACAGGATCTGAAGCCACTGAATTTTGTTATGTATTTATAGAGTATCCGAAGTCAGCAAGATGACGACAGCAAGCGTCTTGCTTACTGTATCGACGAATTGGGGCGCCAATGATCTTTGTGAAAAAGACGGGATTGTACGAAAAGTGAGGAATACGGCTGAAGTAGCTGCGCGTGAGCTTAGAGAGTCTCCAGCTACGAAGGAACAGGCTCTCCTTAATATGAGGGAATGGATTCAGAAGAATCCAGATATAAGAAACGTAAGACAAGGTATGTAAATGACTTTCTGAAAACTTATAAAAAACTTCCTACTATTCAGAATTTTAATGAATTTAAGGCCCATTAAATATGCCAAAACCCAGTGGCACTTCAGAGTCTACCAGGTATATTTATCCTCTTATGTCTTTTTATTTCAGATGATACGTTTTTATTACGATTTCTCCGACACAAGAAGTTCAGCGTGCCAATGGCTCAGCAGACACTACTTAAGTATTTAAACCTCCGAAAATTCTACAGCAACTGCATGGTAAACCTGGACTGTCAAGATCCGAACCTGAAGGAAATTATAAGCAGCGGGTAGGTGGCTCATCCGTCTCTTTTAATTATAGCTTAAACATAATTTGATAGAAAGAGACGAAGACATTATTTTCATTAGATAAAGAGATTTAGTTTATATTTGGGCTACATAAAAGTGATAATCTCTCTTCCCACGAATAGATTATTATATTATTATCTTAGGTAACTGAATCAGCATAGACAAAAACACACACACAATAAAAACAATCAAAAAAAAATCCCCTTTTCGCTTTCGGTTCGTTTCAAGTGTGCAATGAGTGTGTGCTGTGCTTGAAATTAGCCCTGGCTCAGCATTATGCTGAAGAGCAGACTGTTCCATAGCGCTGGTCATTTTGCCAGAGACTCAGCTTATTCGCTTATATTTCATGCAATCTATTCGCTATAAATATTCTCCCAAATAGATATCCAAGAAGGCCACAGCGGTATTATTAGGATAGTTAAATCACTCAACGTGCAATAATAACAAAAATATTAATGTCCTCTGAAACGTAATAAATAAATAAATGTTGATTATGATTAAGAAAGTTGTTATCCTTATTAAGAACTATTAGGCTTCCGTCGCAATGCCCTTTATATGATTCGTTCTAAGATATGTAAATTAAACTTCCTTTCGCTTAGAGGCCGAATAAATTTTCAATCAATTATACATGCGATCATAGGAAATGAGGATTTTAAAGGCGGATAATAGTAAATAATGGGCACATGTTATACACTCTTATCTCGGGCACCGTGGCTTAGTATAAAATCCTGGGTTCAATATCTGGTGAAGATATAGTTGATATGGATGAAGCTGTATTGCCTGACTGTAATGTAGACCGAAATGTGCCAGCCCTATTAGTGAGTTACGGAAAATCGATCATAATAGACACCTGACGATAAACAAATAATAAATTAAAACAGCTTTATATATTTTTTAATTCTTAAGAGTACAAAATACAGTCTAATCATAGAAAGTGCACTGTTATTGACCTCGATCTTGCGAAAAATTTAAATCCACTAACATAGTTACAAAATATGGCGTACGTATTATGAAATGAGGTTATATATTCTTTATGGTACATATCAGACTGGTTATTCGAAAGCCCCCACGTGGGCCTTGAACTTTGTTGTTATATAATTTACTTTTCCCACTGGCTGTTTAAGAAATTAAATTATGAAAGTATTTGTTTATCGTGTTGATGAAACGGTGTGTCATCCCCTTAACATATTGTAAATAGTGTTTTTCGACACTGTATTACGTTAAATATTAGTTTTAGACTTATATTACTTATAAAGCTAGATTGGAATTTCTCAGTCAAGAGACAATTCATTATAAAAATTTGTTCATATTGTATTTGAATATTTTATCGTTTTGTTAATGACTAATTTTACAACAAACTTTGAGAGTTGAAGAGTGAAATTAGAGAATTATCACTGAATAAATTCAATACTATCGTTAAACTTAAATTAATTTTGTTAAAACTTTGATTGATTTGCTCCAGTTCAAATATTTATGGCTGCTCTGCCTTACAAACAATTAAAAGAGTGGCGGAGATTTTCTTGCCAGTTCTTCTTGCCGGCTCTACGCCCTTGACTTGCAAACTGGTAGTAAATGTAAATTTAGAATCAATTTATCATCTTTTCTGTTGGCGTTCATAAGTGTACTTGGTAACCTATATGAATAAAGTTATTTTGAGTTTGAGTCTAATTACAAAGTTGAAAATTTTGTTATGTGGAGACCATGTAGGTCTTTACGATGCATGTTCTGGAGTAAAATTCAGAATATAGTGGCTGATGCTCTCGTATTTTTGAAATATATTGAATTCATACTTAAAGTAACAGTTGCTTCAGTGTTGGTAAACGTTATAGACACAAAGGGAAACTAATAAAAATATCTTTAACATCCCAATGTTTTCTTAAATCATTGACTAAATAATCGGGCATTAAGCTTCGTAGCTGAGTTCCTAGATATTTGTTTATTACACTATGCTGTTAAAATATCTGTAGCTGTATCTGTAGACACACTTTTTGAGACACCTGTGAACACAAAAAATTTTTCTTCATTCTAGGTACATTGCAGTTTCACCAGTTCGTGACAGCTTGGGTCGGAGGGTCATAGTCTATAACATGAGTAAGTAATCAAATTACGAAATCAATGTTGTTCACGCCTATATCAAAATTAGTTAGTCATTGAAACGTTATTTACAATCACGTTATTAAACAATTGTACATTTCATTCAATCAAACTACTAACGTTAAGTCGACAAAATTATTTTCAGCTTTGAAAAGCACAAAATAATACTAAAACGAACGAGTAAATTAAGGTAAAATATGTACTTAAAAATAAAAATAAATCAGTGGCGCTACAACCTCTTTAGGTTTGCCTCTGGGCTTGAGATTTCTGAATCTGTTTCATGAACATTTTTAAATCTAATAGGCAAGTAGGTGATCAGCCTCCAGGGCCTGACACGCCGTCGACTTTTTGGTAAGACATGTCGGTTTCCTCACTATGTTTTCCTTCACCGTTCGAGCGAATGTTAAATGCGCACATAGAAAGAAGTCTTTTGGTGCACAGCCGGGGATCGAACCTACGACGTCAGGGACGAGAGTCGCACGCTGAAGCTACTAGGCCGACACTGCTCCAAAATATTTACTTAGTAATTTGACTATTTTGTACCAATTTATTTTCGAAGTACGAAAAATCCTTTTTGCTGATATTAAGGAAGTATCAATCTTAAAGTGACCTTAATAACAACTTACGTTTCACTATTCGCGTGAACATGTAAAAAGAAGAGATTTAATTGTAAATATTATTTTAATTTCAGTTATTAACTGAACGTTATATTTTGACCTTGTGTTGTATGTGTATGTATATAAACGTTGCTTGCAATGCGATGGCAATGACTTTGACTTGTGCGATTTCAATGTAGATATATATAAATAGATGGCTTTGCGAATTTCGTATGACATATTGTTTGACTTTAGGGTAATAATTCATAAATGCTGATGGCCTACTTGAAATCTTAGCGCCTGTAAGGGTAATTCAAAATCGAGACATACTATGATTGTCGTATGTCAACAAGGATTTTGACTCTTGAATCTGAGGGTTAGTCTTCTTCAGGTGCCACTTTATTGCTAAATTGGAAGATAACAACTTAAATATAAAGTTCTGAGTTTTAAGACACTCGGCGAATTTTACCCTAAAAGTTATCATCACGTGACCTAAGCAGTGTTATTGTTGATTGCCTTACCAATAACTCGTGATTCTATTTGTCTTCCTCATTAAAGTTTCACATCAAAAACCATTAAATTTAAACTTTGTCGTAGGTAAATTCAATATAAGCAAGTTCACATGCTGGGATATGGTCCGCGCGCATATTGTGATCTACGAAACATTGATGGAAGACCAGACGGACCAGATCCATGGCTTCGTGCACGTTGGCGATGGTATGGGATCCAGTAAGACACACGTCACGGCTTGGAACCCTATAGACTTCGCTCGGCTCATTAAGTGGGGAGAGGTAAGAGCTTTAAGAATAGGTACGATAGTAGCCGTCAGTGATAATACGAATTAGAAATCTATCTATCTATCTTGGGCTATGGGTTCAAGTGCACGGGCGCTAATTAAAGATTTCAGTTGGAACCTGGTGGTACCGGTAACCCCAGAGCCATTGTTTTCCTCGCTCAACGAATAAGTATTGCAATACAGCGATTAAATGCCATAAGGTACACTTTTTAAATTGGTTTCAATTTTCTATGTATCAATTTTTAATGATGATTCTTACTATGTAGGTTAACAATATAAACGTTGCCAGAAAGCTCGCAAGTCCGATGTTAGGCCGAGCATCGTATTATAGACAAAAACAAGTTATCCTACGAAGCTTTGCAGTTCTTTTTACATTTACAGTCTTTTAATGTGTAATTTTAGAGATAATTCCGAGAAAAAATCATTTAACGGATTAGATTAATATCTAAATCTGAGAACGAAAGATCGTGTAGAATCTACTTTGTAAAGAGTTGTCTTTATAAACTGTCTATGACAGAATGTTTCGTCATAGTCGTAGAATAGTGACGGATCTGACAAATAGTAAACTTTACAGGGCAACCATTTCAAAATAATACTCATGTTAGTTTTTGTCATAACTATTTTAATTCATATTCTGTTATTATGAGAGTGGGCATACAAGCAAACAGGTTTGTTTTGAAACAAAATAAAAATAAAACCATTAAATTACACAGTTTTCTAGAAAAATCATACATGTTTCTATCAAATCCGTCACTTTACCGACTGATTAATTTGAAATTTAAAACACATGCAATTTTTTTTAATGTAGCCGTAATATTTAGTAAATGTAGTATCCAAATATGATAAAAAGTGGATCTACGATCATGACGGTTTCTATGTTTAATTTTATCGTAGGCGAGACTGCAGAATAAAACAAACAAAAGCTCTCCAGGTAAAAGGAATAAAGTTCATTAGCACCTACGTGCTGCGTATGTCATTTATTTCTGCATATCCCTTCACCAACCTAAACAATACAAACTCACAAACAAAATAGTCCCAATATTGGAGTATTGGTTAAATTTATAAGGTTAACTCGCCTCACCCATTTCCTCGAATATTTAAAGTCGAAACTGTCGAGACTTCGACTAGTCTTAATATACGGCTGTGAGGCTTACCATGAAAGAGAAGCAGAAGCTACTGGCGGAACGCAAAATATTGCGTAAAATCCTTTGGCCAACAAGGAGGGATTATGTAGAGTTGCTAGCCCATCCCAACATTATAAGCGGATACAATCGGCTACGTTGGCTGGAACCTTGAGCGAGTGGGCCAAGATCGGGTAATGGTGGCCTAGGTACCGCTGGAGAGTAGAGGAGGACCTGCAGCATCCAAGCCAGTATTTGGCGGAAGGTGGCACTGGACAGGAAGCGCTGGAAGTTTCTTGTTTTGGAGGACAAGACACTTATTGGGTCACAGAGCCAGCGGAGTGAGTTAGTGGAGTCAGCCGAAGCGCATATTCTGATTCTGACAATATATTCTACTCACTTACCCTACGCGTTATCGATCACTGCGCTGGGCACGTGTGCAATACCAGTAAAGAGAAAACGATGGAAAATCTAAGCATTAATTATATGAATCAAGTAATTATTCGAATCAATTGCTCACGCGTCGTAATTGCAAAAAATCTCCGCTAATTCCCTTAATAACTAGTTTAATCTGCGTCAAAACAATTGTAGTGGAAAATAACTGAACCAGTTTCACTATAAGGCTTTACTTTGATACGATGTGTATCTAGTTTTCAAATACCTTTTAACCTCAACACCTGGCGTTCCAAAACGCGTTTTAATGCAATTTCTACCGTGCAACAACTCTTTGTGGAACCAGCTACCAGTATTGATAGTTTTCAAGAAGTCATTCCATTACCTCAAAGGTCGGCAACACACCAGCAAGTCCAACTGCACTTTATTCAAAGGTCACTTGGACTGCTTATTTGCTTCCTGTCCCATAAAAATAAATAGAAAGAGAATGTAGGGTCAAAGGCAGAGTTAGACTAAATAACTCTAAGGCTATGTTCACATGTAACGCGCGTTAACGCGCGTCAACGCGCGATCAAATTTGAAGAGCGTTCAGATGATGAGCGCTAACGCGCGTTGCGAGAGTACTCGTCAGTCTAGTTCGGTAGAACGTAGAAAATGGACGTGGAAGAGGCTATTATTTTGTGGTTATATTATAAAGAAAAATATACAAAAGAAAACGTACACATTGGGTTCATCCAATTTTGAAAAAAAAATACAAATTATATTATATTTTTTATACAAATTTGCTATATTCCAACTTGCTGGCCTTTTTTCTACTTCATCGATTAGTAAGTCGATGTCAATATTTTCAATTTCACTCATTTTAAATCCGAGAACAAAATATAATTACGAAAATTAACAAAATTACATGCGATCGCGATGAAAGCGCGCGCTCATGTGAACAGCAAACGGACATTACATTAATATCAAAGCGCGCGTCAACGCGCGATCACCTGCGTCTAGAGACTTTTTCTCTGAGCGCCGCGTTGACGCGCGCTCATGTGAACAGTTGTATGAAAATACCACAATGTCTAGTCGCGCGATTAGAAAACGCGCGTCAAGTTTTTGCCATCTGAACATAGCCTAACTGTTAATGGCCGATTACTATTTGACAGTTGAGAGAACTAGTTTGCACTTGAGATTCAGCATCGTACTCCTCGCGTATGTCAAGTTCCAAATCTGGTAAATCCGCATTTATCTTTACTTGAAAAAAAAAAGAAATACTAGAAAAATTAAAATTGGAAGTGTAATGTTTTTATGTTCACCGTAATGTATTTTGGATAGATAGATTCTTACTTATACTCTACAAAATGTGGTGTGTTTAATAAATAATTTAAATAAAAATCGCTGTAATGTCTGATAAGTAAGATAGCGACGTCCGTGATCACGACCCGCAACCAATTTTATATATTTGACGTAAAATAAATTTATTTAAAAATATGTTTAAACTCTTACAACGATCAAATAATCTCAGTTGGGTAAAGTCCATAGTAAAAACATCTTAGTCATTTTTATTGCGTGACATATACATATTGGTCAAGAATTTGTGTTTTTATATGGATTTTTTTTCACAAACTGTTGGTGACGTAGCCCGTAGTGTACAGCATATCGTGTCTTAATAGTAAAGTAACATATACTAAACAGTTTTTTAACTTTTTTATGAACATTTAATTTTGTATAAAGGTTAATACGAAATGCGATATAAATATCGTCGCAAATCTTTAGATAACAAGATTTATGAGAACGAGTTTAATAGGTAGCTTGAAGTACATGAACAATATTTTTTATATGAACAATTATAGATAGTTTTGCATTCAACGACACTAAACTTATACTTATGTGAAGAAATTATTAACTTAATATTAATTTAAAAACTTCACGTAAATTTTAACAAGCATAGTCGTTAACCGAAACGACTTGTAACACTGGTAAACACAATACGATAAGGCTTTTTATTTCATTTCTTTGCTTTAACTCGTGAGCCTTTAGAAGCCTATAGACGTGGAAAGTCACTAACCCATGACCCATTACGGACTCCGCTATACTCGTAACGATGATTTTCATACATGTGCTTCCACCAAAGCGCAGACGAGCGCAGCGGAGAGAGCGAGTTGAAAAAGTCACATATGAGGTTTGCGAGTTGACCGAGTTTCCCACGGAAATAAATATGTATGAAAATCATCGTTACGAGTATAGCGGAGTCCGTAATGGGTCCGTTCCGCTCGCAGTGGAAGGCGGGCATTAGGCGCCACTTTCTTCACCGTATTCTGGGTATCTACTGGCCCGAGAAGTTCCCAAACGAGTAACATTGGAACCGCTTTCGAGAAACCCCGAACAGCTAGCAGATCAAGCGACGCATGTGGACATGGATAGATACACTCGGAATATATTCCAATTATATCGCAAAGTTTGATTGGAACCCGCAAGGAAACCGGAAGCGTGGCCGTTCCAAGAAAACTTGGCGTCCTACAGTTGTAGATGAGGCAAAGAGAGCTGGAAATACTTGGAAGAAGGTGAAATACGAGGCTCAAGACCGTTGGAGACTCACTGTAAAGACCCTATGTCCCATCTAAGGGTTAAAGTACATAAAGTCTATCCCCCCATCGTTAAACATCGTTAAGCCTAGCTAACCTTTCTCTATAATCTATCTATGTATACGTATAGTCTTAACCTGATCTAAGGCTTTTAGTGAAATAATAATTGTTTCGGATCGGCCATAGAAGGCTGATCCATGTTCTTATCATTGTAACAGTCAAAAGCAAGCAGTCTTTTACGTACTTTATTACAACGTCTAACAATATAATTCATTTATATGATTATCTAGCTGCCCCCGCGAACTTCGTTTCGCCTACATATGATTTTTTACTTAGCCTTTTTTACAAAATTCGATTTGTCCAGACGTCTTCGAGTTTTGCGCTCAGCAACATATCTTGCGAATCATTTTTATTTATATACTAGTGGACCCCACAGACGTTGTCCTGCATGATATTTAAAGCGATTAGGATATTAAGCAAAGTATGAAAGTACCGACTGCAGTGCCATCTACCGGGCTGTTTTGTGAATCTAAACCATCCACGGCTCCACCCAAACGTATACAAAAAAAAATCATTCAAATCGGTCCAGCCGTTTAAGAGGAGTTCAGTGACATACACACTCACAGAAGAATTATATATATAAAGATATACCCAAACATGCATTAAAAACTATTAAGTAACAAAATTTCTTATTTGTATTCATTGACCATTGTATTAATAAACTTAAATACATTAAAAGTAAATTAAATTGAATATGTGTAGTAAACCAATTTTTGAATGTCGACCCTCCATGATCCAGATTGGTCCACAGATAATAAAGCTATGCTAAGCACAAAAAACTCCTTCGTAAATCTCGTTGCAGTTAATTGAAAAATTATAAAAAACACTTATAATAGTCTTGCTAATTTTCTTCCAGCAATCCTTCCCAATGCGCCACAAAGGTTTCCAGCTGTTCAATGTCCCATCGGCTCTTAAATACATTATTGATTTTGCTGCGAGCAAAGTGTCTCCCAAAATAGGCGAGCGTTTACGTGTAAGTATATCAGTTATATTAAGAATTACTGTTATAGTGTTAAATGTTAATATACAAGTATGTCTCTAAACCTCTTAGTAGACACATTTTTGCATTGATGTTTTCATAGACAAGTCTTCAGCTTTCTATGCCTGAAAGCCAAAAGACATGTCGATTTCCTCACGATTTTATCCGTCTCTAACTCAGAACGAATCACTTGGTGCAAGCCGGGGATTGATCGCAGTGTTAAATTTTATTATTTATTTATAAGCTATTGATTGTAAAGAAAACACTAAACCAAAACAGTTTACATTGATAAAAAAAATATACGAGCACAGAAAAAATAAGACAATTAAGTACATTAATAGATAAAAAAGGAAACTAATATTAAAAAGAATACTGATGATGCAAATAAATAAATGAAATAAGGAATTTACTAATTTTGTCACAATTAGTAAATTCCTTAACCCATAGACAATTGAGTATACCTGGTTTATGACCACGTGGAGAGGAAGTTTTTATTTAAAGAAAAAACTTTTTAACCGGATTAAAGTTATGTATTATTATAAATTTACAATTATTTAACATAATTTTAAATTTATCCGACGTTTCGCGTGCTTTACAGCGTGCGTGGGTCAAGCACGCCAAGTGCTAAGCTAAGTTTTTATTTACTCAAAACAGGAAATTTATACAACGCAAACTAGAATTTTGGCAATATATAGTATATATATAGTTATATTGCAGGGTTCAAAATTCATTATTATTATACTTTCAGCTCCATTCAACAAGCAAGACTCTATACAAAGAAATGGATATCTCTTGTCTGCCAACAAAATTCGGCGGCAAGATTCCTTTACAAGAAATGATTGACTTCACTCATAAACTCCTTGAGGAGAAGCGGCAAGTTCTTCTTGACCTCGACGACATGGAGATCTTAAGTACAAGAGGAATTTTATCTTCAAGAAATACCAGTTCATCCCCTGAAGGATCTGTAGAAGGCAGTTTTAGGAAGTTAGAGATTGATTAAGGGCATTTATATATTAATTTTGGTTAAGATTTGAGGTTTAGTTTTGAGGCAGGGCTAGTATGTAGGAATCTTACGAGTTCTACATTATATAGTCTTGTTGTAATTTAGTAGTAAGTAGCCTCCATGAAAACACGTAGATTTAATAGTTCGTTTAATTTTTTTTTAAATCGTTGCGTCTCGAAGTACATATTTAAGTGTTTGTGGACACAAATGAAGGTTTAATTTTTAATATATTTTAACATATCGCTGGAACACTGATGAAATCAATTAAAAAAATATGTATTCTCAGTTTAAAAACCCCAATAAAATATTATCTGTGACAAAATATTATCACAGATAATATTTATTACAAATATTATGTTTCTATATAGTAGTTACCTTATGGCGCGTCTAAACGGGCCATGTTTTGCTGCAATTGATGGCTGCACTGTTGGCCACTAATTGCCCGGCCATTACAAAAATATTTTAATGCAGCTGATGGCCGAACAATCTATGGCTGGGCAATGTGTTGCAATAGTATGGCCCATGATGCAGACTCCTAAACGGGCTACACAAACCGGCAACAATGGCTGACAAAATCACACTTGTCGCAGCAGCTTATATTGTTTTAAAAAAGAAACAGAAAAAGAAGAGATTGTGGATTCGACCTTACTTAAATAGGCGTGAAACTGTAGACAATTTGAGTCTAGAAATAAGTCTTGATAATAAATTATTCAAGAACTAGAATGTCAAAAGTAGTCATTTTTACATAGTAATCTAACGTCAAATACAGCTGATCGCAAAACACAGAATAAAGCAACAGGCACACTTCACTCAAAGCAAACGTCATGTCGCGTAGAAAAGGATACACTATGCCATAACAAAGAGAGTGACTGAAACAACAAGAGAACTGGCCGTGCAATATTGCAGTTGAATTCGATAGCCTAGCGATCGTCCGGCCACCTATCGGGGCAACATCGGCCATATGTGGCTATACAAAACATGTTTGGCTATATGGCCGGGACATTACTGCAATATTGCATAGTGTGGCTGCTATTGTTTGCAATGTTGCCGGCCACAGTGTTGCAACCATCAATTGCAGCAAAACATGGCCCGTTTAGACGCGCCATAATACAATAAAATTTTCTGAAAATGACGATGATGATTTAAATGTTTTTCCATTCAAAAGACATGGTGACCATGGTAACAAATATTGTATCTTAGTCCTATTTGTGTACACCAACATTTTAAGTGGTTCTCGACACGAGAGAGAATTTATTAACATTACCTCCTTAGTTGTTTAGGGTGTTAAAAGGCTTCCAGAAAGCTACAGGTGGCGCCATTGCGAAGAAACTTTAAGTGTTTATTTAAGGAAATGTAAGCTCCCTTGCCTTGTATAAATTGATGTATAAATAAATGTTATAAACTCTCGTGGAAATTTATTTAATTTATCCCGAAATCATTTGCTATTAGTAATGGCTACCTGCCCTGCGGCTTCATTTGTTCGGGTGAACATGTAGTTCCTGAAATCGATAACGCGTTTAACGAGAGGGAAGCTGACAAAGGGGAATAATATTTTCAAAGCCCGTCATCATAATTTTTATCTCACCATGTTAGTTCTAAACCCAGTATTATGTAATTCCAATTTGAGACATCGGCTATTAAAAAACATCGTCCATGGGTTTCGTCATAACCTTGTAATTTACCAATCATTGATTTATTACAATCCATCATTCGGTATTTAAAGACGCGGAGATAGTTTAATCGTTTATATTGCTATTTTAATTCGTTATTACACAGTAAATCTGCAGCAATCGCCGGTAATGTTTGGCAAGACAATTAGTCACAGTTCCAACGGCAGATAAATTAAAATACAGAATAAACATTATGTATCGTGATGTTAGTCATACTATTATGATTTCTTCGGTAGTCTAGCTTGTGAAGTTTTATTGATAACCGTCCTGACCGCCAGTGGCTTAATTAATAACGATGCGAAGAAAATACTGTCCCTCCAACCTTAAGGGAGGATCCTAGACCCGTCTAATATTGATTGGCCGGCCCGAAGGCCCCAGTGGCTGTGTTTATCATGCTGTTTGCCCTTGTGCCCAGCTTGAGCCATCGTGGGGCCTGAAGGCCGGGACGGAATCTCACTTTAGGGAATGATGGGAGCCTTCCCGGTGCCGGCGGTTATTCTAATCTGGTTAGATGGTTTTGCCACGCGTGCGGCTTCTCCAATGGCTGAAGTCGAGTCCGAAATTCCGGTGATAGCACTGATTTACAGAATACGAGCCCACGGAAATGGCTTGAACTGAACTTCATTTGGTGTCAACAACTTAATAAAGTGAAATTAAAGTATTTTCTCGTGTAAAAGAAAAATAGGCACGTAGTACGCCGTCTATTTATCTGAGACACACACTTAATGTACATAGACCTTCGTGGTACTTGCTGCACACTCCCTCGAGAGGGGGAACTTTGGCCCGTTCGGGTGATGTCTATGTTCGCGCCCTGCTAATACAGGGCGGGCTGTAAAGCCCTTGATGGGGGCTACTGCGCGCTGAGACGCGGTCCCTACTCGCTGCGCGCATCCGATGGGTAGTAATGTACATAGGTTTTTTTTAAGGACCCCTTATATAGGCTTCCTCCAACTGGCTCTATCTGTCTCTATCTTGATAATTTTTCTCCCCATCTTCTCCATCTTCTCTTTAAGCTCGTCAGCCCATTAAGAAGTCGACATCTCTCTCATCTCGACTTTAGATTTGTCAAAACAAATTCAGAGTTCTTAATGAAACAAAAAGTATTCATCATCATTTAATATCCATAAATACATTACTACATTATAATTTCAAAAATGCAGATACGGACGTAATAGACACCAATTGACACAACATTAATCTTAAATAGTGCTTACTGCAAGTTGATAGGCCTAAGCGTATACGAGCGTATTCGTATACGTGAATACGATATCAGTTTTAATAGACATTGATTTTCATTACAATTATATTACTACACATTCAATTAAATATTATTTCCCTTTATTCATAGAAATCAGTGTATTTCCACTCTTAATTATATCTCAAAGAGCGAAAGAGACAAAAGAGTACTTACTACAATATTTATTATGAATAGAGGTTTAACTAATCTAGACTTATTTATTCATGTAATTTTCTTTCAACTATTATTGCCAGAGCGAGAAAATACACGAAGTGTTTTATGTTAAACAGAATAGACAAATAAAGCGATAAACAATCATTTGATGTTTGCCAAAATACAATCCTTGTCTTTGGTATCAGATTCTATATTTGTTTCGTGATTATTTCTAATGTGGGTGATCAGCCACCTGTGCCTGCCACACTCAACTAATCCGTTTTATTTATCTATTCTGTGGTCTTAATATTAGTGACATATTTCTAGTAGGTATATTTAAATATGTTAATTAAGTATATGTTTAATTTATGTTAACCAGAGTATGCCTTAACATTATTATAACATCAATAAAATAAAAGTACATTTGGCACATATAATAATATGAGAATTATAAATTTTCATTAAAACAAATTTACAGCCGCATAATTAAATTACTTAAGCATTTATGAATTCATCGATTAACTAAAAAAATATCACAATAATATTCGATAATTAATTTAAAAATAATATAAACATTAACATAATTTGCTACAATTAATATCACAAAATATTATGCAAAGCGCCCTATCCTTCGGAAGTGATAACATATCATGAAAACGGTCTAATTTAGTACTCTTTCGTCTCTTTCATTTGCATTGTATTTAAACTGAAAAGAGACAGGTGAGTCCTTTAAATATGCTTACTCATAATGATAATGGGGTGATTGTGAAGTGATAATATTCGGTGGTCAAAGTAGAATTACAATTCAAGACAATTTCTACTTATAATTTTCTTACTATTTTCTTATAGTTAAAAAGACAGAAATATAACAGGTGGGCTGAAAAGTTCGTAGGATAACATAGAAAAGACTTAAAGAAGTTATACTTCTTTTGGCGCGTTAGTGAAAAATTATGAGAGTAAAGAGATACGCACTCACACCGTCACAAAAAACTGACACGGTGAAGTTAGTTATAGACAACATTTTAGTTTTTTATATTTTTAGTGTAGTTTTTTGTACAAACGTAGAATAAATTTTTATATTGTTACGCCATAGAAGTATAACTTCTAACGCGTGTACATAAGTACACACACGTTTTTATTATTGAATTTGATTTGATTATTCAATATATGATTTATCAATCGCCTTCGAGAGCGACAACGATTATAGCGGTGATACAATTTTTCAATACAATTTGTCTTTAGCATCTAAATAGGCCTCAGTTCCTGCGATTGCCTTTTCATCAGCTCAACATTTTTGGATTTATTACGATTGAACAGCTTCAAACACTGCTCAGAATCATGAATTCAGATTTATGATTTATTGTTGATTGATTATCCTTCAGGATTTCAATCAACGATAAATCAGGATTGAGCATTTCATGTTCCTTTGATGTTTAGGGTCTCATCTATCTATATTTCGGTTATCCAAAATTAATTTATTAATTTAATACCAGTAGCGCCTAATGTCGCCACCAGTAGCCATATATATGTAAGCCTCCGAACCTTCCAGCCCACCTACTAAACTTCGAACAGTCATATAACGTTTAACATAATATCACATACAAAGATATATGGCAGATCTCAATAATTTATATACCAAATTTTTCATACATTACATTAGAAAGGGACAACAAATTATTTAATACAGTTTGGAACAATTTGCGATACAATACTGAAAAAGACGAATTAATACTTTATTTAAATCAATGATATAAAACTGATGAAATATAAAAAAAACGAGTGGCGCTACATCCTTTTAGGTCTAGGTCTCAGATTTATGGTAATTTGTCAATCAAATAGGCGAGTAGATGATCAGCATCCCAGTACCTGACAGACACTGTCGACGTTTTGCCTCTAAGGCAAGCCGGTTTACTTACCGTTCGAGAGATTTTTCATATAAACATCGTTACCATAGCAACGAAAAGGAATCTTTCGTCGTGTATTGTCCTTGTCGCTTCAAAGGTAAATAAATGTGACAAAACATTAAATGAACTGAATAACATCGACGTATAAACTTTTGAGATTGGCCATAACAATGACATTTAAATTGACTTTCCTCAGTAGGGAATCAGTTTTTTAAATAATTTAATTATAGGTCAATCGCCATTGTGGTAATTTTGAGAGAGCTTCAAACAATTTATTTGGGGGATACTTAATTGTTTTCCCGACAATAATAAATGTTGTGTTCAAACGGTGATTATCGACTCCATTTGTAATCACGCTTTTTGCTGCCGCGATTTGAAGATCAGATGGCGCCACCACTTCAAAATTACCTTTAAAAAAAATATATGCTACACAACAGACTAGAAATGTCAATATAACCTAATTTTTCGTCTTGAGCTCGGTGACATTCTCACCTTCCTTTTAAGATATAACCTTTTTGAAAGCATAGAACTTCGCTCCTTCAAACTCCCTATAATCTACTAGACAAGGGGGTGCCTTTTTAGAAGCGCTTGAAAGTGCTCATGTCAAACTCTTTACTCCTCTTTTTTTTGTGATGCCCCACATTAGCCTTTACAAAATTCTTATGTCCAAATGTAACATAATTTTTAATATTAAAAATTGAATTGTTCACTTGATGATTTTGAGAATGGTATGTTTTAGAAAGAAGTTAATTTCGAAAATATACAATGACAAACGTTGAGTCTATTTGCATTTCCAAATTTCCCTCCTTTGGGGCATGGGCATCACGTTGGCAAACACTGTTCTAGGGAGATTGAAGGGGGAAAAGTTAGTTGTTTTAATAAAAAATGTTGATTTCGGCGAAGTATTGAGAATTTCAAAAACTGAGTTTTAAATGAATGTTATTTCAATAAGGATAGTACCAAGGAACATTCAAAGACCTTATCAAAGAAAACTTAATGGCCGAATGGTTAAAAAGCACTTTGTCTCCATTCGTCTTACAACAATTGCAATTATTGTGTAACCTCCGCTCCCTAGACTAGACACACTGCTCCAACGTACTAGACAAAAAAAATAGACAGGCTTGGCTTAAATATAGAAGCCTTCAAGCATAAAGTGACTTACCTATAAACGCCAAGATCATAGGCGAAAGCTCGGCATACAAAGTTGATTTCTTCCATCCAAGTGCTTCAAACACCAAACCATTAGTCGACACTAAGTAATTGTATAGAAGTGTTTGGTTTGCCATCTAGAAAAAAATATTTGGATTGATTTTTTTTGTACTAGAAACCCAGACACTGTGAGCATTGTGAACATAATCTTAGTCCACAAACATATTTATTTTACTATATTACTGTCAAAAATTTGCAAATGGAAAATATAAGGTCCAAAGTTCAAAAGATCATAGTAGGTAAAAATAATAACTAAACTAAGTGATTTAAATTAATATACTTTTATTTTTAGGCGCGAACTAGGATTTTCATGTTTCAAAGGTTTACATTTTCATTTAAAAAAATAAGTTTTTTTATCGGTTGCAATCGGAATAAACTATGTAATTTAATGTAATATGTATAACTTGTGAGTTGCGAGGTATAGCCAAGTCAATGTATTTATTTAAAACAAAAATTGAAATATTAATATGGTAAGATGTTGTTAAATCAGAAGATCCAGAGCCTCACAACTTTTTATGGTAAAAGAACTTCGTTGCTCAGTTTTATTACAAGTTATGTTTTTATGGCAGTATAAGTGATCTTACTTGCGAATCATTCATCAGTAAATCTATACAATCAGTGCGGTTAGCACACTGTCTTGTATCAGTTTGCAGGATGACCACATGTTTTGCTTCAAGAGGCGGAAACGCTTCGAGACCTTGACCGAGGAGGGGAATCGGATCCTCTATTGGCGGCAATATATTATCTGTAATTAAATTTGTATACTTTACCTAAGTAATAGTAGAAAAACTAAGTTTTATGCAAGTTTTATTCATCCGAATGTAGACAAAAATCATTGTCGACAATAATATAAAAAGAATTCTGAACACCTTTTTTAGAAAAATAACTTGTGCTTTATTACAAATAATACTACTCCAAATAGTAGTTTTGGCCTAGAGCTTAAGCGTCTCTCATCCCTGAGGTCGTACGTTCGAAGCCCAGCTGTGCCCCAATGGAATTTCTATTTGCGTATTTAACAAACAAAGCTGAAGGAAAGCATTGCAAGGAAACCGGCTTTCCCGCGACCCAATAAGTCCACGTCCACGGGCCAGAAGGCAGTTCACCTCATCACGAAACAAAGATGAGGACAAAACTAAACCACTGATGTTGTATTAAACGCTTATCTAAAATATGTTAATCACATACATTTCAATGTGATCTAGATATGAAATATTGGAACTTCTACAATCTTAAAAGAAAGGTGTAATTGCCGGTTTGTTGCTAATAAAAAGTGATATACTTTTATAAATTTTACATTACGAGCTGGCACAACTTAAGACTAATAAATAATAATTTAAGTCTTAACTAATTAGAAATAGCATATGGTCTAAGATCCCGATATACAACGACCGAGATGCTTATTTAATGAAACGTATTTTATATTTAATTTAATATGTCAATAAATATAATCCATATGGGTTGCCTAGCAAATTTCAGTCCAGAGTATTTTAATTAATATTTAAAAAAAAATATTTTTTTAAACATTTCACCGGTATGATTATTAGATAAATTGTATACCAATCGAAAGTATGAAGCCTATAGAATATGCAAACGTTCGGTTGTTTTCAATCAATTAATTATTTATGTGTATATTTTTTATGTGACACTAAAGTATATATACATCTTTAGTAAAAAATAAAGTTATAGTGATGCATATATAATACTACCCTGATTAAAAATATTGATTGAAAAAAAAATAAAAAAATTTACTACATGCAAATTATATATATTTTTTTTTAATATTAATTAAACATACTCTGGACTGAAATTTGCTAGGCAACCCATATGGATTATATTTATTGACATATTAAATTAAATATAAAACACGTTTCATTAAATAAGCATCTCGGTGAAGGTCGTTGTATATCGGGATCTTATACTAATAGCCCTATATATATTATCACTTTATCATCTATACAAATTTTTACATACCTGAATTACTTTGGAGAACAAGTAAATATACTCCAATAATAAATCCAGTTAATAGAATCCCAAGTAGGAATCCCACAGTGATGATGGTAGATACGTATCTCTCCCTGCGATGTGAACTTGGGAATCTATTTATAAGTGGGGTATCCTCAGATACCCCGTCTTCTTCCACGCGTTGAAATGAACTCCTTCTGGTTTCATGATCTGCGAAATATATACCAAAAGACGGATTTATAATCAAAGAACGTCGTTTGTTTTTTATTTTGCACATTCTTGTGGTTTTCGATGCAAGACACACGAATATCACGAGCACCAAACGGTAGATGGCAAAATTGTAGGTGTGATTTTCCTTTGTAATTTATGCGCAACACCCTGGCGCAGCGTTGTGGGATGGGCGCGTCAAGGGCGTAGCTCCCGGCAGTAGACTTGCGAGGTCACGAGGTTCCAGATAGTTAGGTACAGAAAATAGCTCATAATCGATACAATAAGGCTTCGTACAATAACAAGCGAATTTCTAACACTTTGTGTTCACTTCTTATAACCTCAAGCTATAGTGTATTTCTCGGTAAGTTATAAAATATATTGAAACATACCTAATATGCGATTCATTTCAATTTCAACCATTTTGTAATAACCACAAACCGAACTGAGATTACTCGTTTCAATGCTATTATCACACGGCCTCCTACCCACTTATCTCTTGAAATATTATAGGTACGGTTTAATCCATATTTTAATAATTTGTATTACAATGCAGATGCTGGTACTATAATGTTATAGGACCGTCCGAGTGAATCGTAAGTTGTATATATAATCAATTAATTATTTTTGTTTTCATAATTTTTAAACAGAGACCTATTTTTTGTTTTTGTTTTATCAGCCCTAAAATAAAATAAAAATAAAAAATGTTTATTATGGAACATAAGATACGGGGTATGACTTATTCCACGTCATTAAATTTGAATCTGTAGGCATCCCTACTCATCGGCAAAGAAGACAGAGGGTGTAGGCCGAGAGAAAAAGTCGGCGTAAAAACTCTCGGTACTCTTTTAAAATAGCAAATCATCGAAAAACACTTATTTTAAAACAAATAAAGTGGCCAGTCTTAGTGGCCGAATGAATTTTATTTATAGCCTTATAATTTATGATTGTATGGAAGGAAAGCAGTGTAAGAAAACCATAAACAAAAATATTCAGAAGCAAAACTGAGCAATACTGCGCGTATTGCTCATGTTTAATTTTCAAACGAGCCTACGAGCCCATGTTATGCAAAGCTGAAAGGTGACTGACTAAAAAAAATAATACAAGATGATTGCGTCATACTCATTATCACTTTTATAGATCTAACCTAGTATCGAAGGTTATTTCTTACCTACTCTAATACATATTTATAAGAACAAAATAATAATTTTAAATTTTTTATCGAACTTATTTTTCAGTTTGAGGTTCTTTATACACTCGGCGTCAAAAAAATCGCACCTTTCTTAAAATTCGTGTCAAGCGATTATAACTTCTAAGATCCTTCCTGTACCCTATCATTATTAGTATTAGTAGCTTTCAAAAAAATAATCATTTGTTTACGGAAAATCAAAAACCACAAATCGCCAGCACTTTGATTAAAAAGTGGCGATGTACGCGTTTGGAGGCTCACTAATTGTACCATCCTGTACGCGTATAAAACGAGGGGGTAAAAGTCAATTATGGGTTATTCGCTATCCAGACGTCACAGAGGTCACACCTGAAGAGCTTCGACAAGAAAAAACCCAGTGAAAATGGATACCATGGCAAAGAAGCAGCTCAAGTGGTGGCCCTACTGCAAATCGGACTACGGCAGGTTGAAGTTGCTAGGCAATTGAAAATCGAGTTCGACAACAGGTATACCAACGGTTCCAAGAGACTGGAGGTTACATCAGGAGACATGGATCCGGGAGACGTCGCTGCACTACCGTCAGAGGTGATCGCTCCATTGTGTCGACGTCTTTGCGGAACCGCTTCTCCAACGCTGTGGAGCTGCAGCAGCGGCTTTGAGCTACTCGAAGGACAGCTGACAGCGTCTCCACTATCAAAAGAAGGCTGTGAGAGAAGAATTTGCTGCCCTGGAGAGCTGCTACAGGCCCCCAATTCACTGCCATCCACCGGACGAAAAGGAAGCGATTTTACGAAACGCACGTGCCGTGGACATTCGACCAGTGGAGGAATGTCCTGTTCTCCGACGAAACCCAAGTGTGCCTGTACACCAACAACATGCGTAAGAGAGTCTACAGGCGACCAGGGGAGCGTTTCACACCAGCCTGCACCGTGGAAACCGTCGGGTATGAAGGAGGATCCTGCATGTTCTAGGGCGGCATTTCTATCGACGGCAAGACAGATCTCGTGTGCGTCTCCAGAGCTGGAGATGGTCGCGGCCAGGGGTCTCTGAATGCCCACTGGTATATCACCGAGATTTTGGAGGAGCATGTGGTCCCATGTGCAGGTTTTGTCGGCGCCAACTTCGAGTTCATGCACGACTACGCCCGGTGCCACACAGCCTTGATTGTCACGGACTACCTACGTCGAGTTGGCATCAAGGTTATGGACTGGCCAGCAAGAAGCCCCGACCTCAATCCTATCGAGCACCTCTGGGACGAGCTGAAACGGCGAGTTCGGGCCCGTAATCCAGCTCCTGCCACTCTCGATGAGCTTCGAGATGCCGTCATCGAGGAGTGGCACAACATTCCCCAGGAACACGTCGTGACGCTCATCAGGTCCATGACTGACCGCTTGGAAGCTGATCGTAGGGCTAGAGGAGGCAACACTAGGTTTTAAGACTAAGTTTTAAGGATTGTCATTGTTTATTTTTAATTTTTGTATTGTTCCTTTTCTTTGTAATTTTGATCAGAATACACATTGTTTCACATTTTCCCAGAATTTTCTTTTTTTATGGGGGTGGTGGCCAATTTCCTACCGTTTTCAAATAAGGGATTTCATTAGCTTTCAAATGATACTAATAATGATAGGGTACAGGAAGGATCTTCGGAGTTATAATCGCTTGACACGAATTTTAGGAAAGGTGCGATTTTTTTGACGCCGAGTGTACAACAGTGCATGGATCTCTGTGGAGAGTTGACTCGTTTTCTAAAGATATGCTTGTTTATAAACAATAAATCAAAACATTTCGCTTTCATCATACTATATAACAGACACTTCTTTGTGGATGATTTTGTGAATTAATAATTCTCATAATTTTTTTACAGAAAAACATATTAGGTAGTTGCCAAATATTATTCAGATAAGAGTTGAATAGTTCAATTTTTTAATATTTGTATAAATAAAAAAAAATGATTTAGATCAGTAATTATTTGGTTTTGTTTCAGAGATTTATTTTAACCTAACTACCATTTGTGATATTAACTCTTAGTTTAACCCAAGCCAATGGACAAAGGAACTCGAATTTGGTTGGGTGTGCAATACACATGTCAATGTGCAATGAGCTCATGCTCGCATTTTCCATGTTTACTGAGATTAATCAGTACTTACAGCCCCAACGTCTCTAACACTTCTCCATTCTGTATCCTACCCCTAAGGATTTCAAATATGTACCAAGTTACTAGCTTAGCTAGATGTGTGTATCCAACGCTACCCAAAACAAACAATGTCGGATGTAAATGTAGATTTCACTGTGTGAAATGAATATTTAAATTACAGTAGCAATTTTTGCTACAGCAGCAAATTTAACTAATATGTTCTGTTCAACAGTTGTTTGTTGAACAATTGTGAGTTCCTAAATCAAATATATCTAGATATTTTATATTTAGGTTGTCATCTGGACTCCTGTGTATAACCCAGAGGTATGTAGTTTTGTTCCAGGCAAAACAATTCTATAATATATATATTCTTATGTTTAGTGTTTAATGTTATTTTCTCCGTACTTTAAAAATGTTTAGTAAATCAGATGCAGAAGCTACTACATGCCCCATTTGGAGTCCTCCGACTTTAATAATGGAAATATAGTTATTTCTTAACACTCAAATAATTGCTGATATCAATACTAAGACTTGTTGAATGTTATTTATAATAAATACATTCCATGGTAATATTAAACCTGAAGTATATTTTGTTGGTTACATTCTATTAAGTTACATATAGTTCCAGTTCTTTGTTCGGCATATATTGATTTAAAGAAAGAGTATGCGCAACAAGGAAATCGCTTATTTAAAAATCAATAATACATACCAACTGGGGATATTAAGGATTGCATCACGGATTCTTTTGTGTGTATGTATTGCGAAGCGATGCACGGTGAACATTCACAAACTAGAACACTGTTTTAGGGGTATCTGTTTATTTTTCTTTTCATATTCATCCATTCACTCAATATGTATTATTTTGCAGATAAGAAACTGCCAGAGCAAACTTCAGCAAACCCAGCAGCTATCAGCTATGTTGTGTTTTGTTACATTGAGCGATGTCCGCTAGAGGCGCTGGCGAGTTTAACGTAGGGAAACTTATCGAATACGTTAGTGATGCCATCGTTGTCACATACAATATTTAATTTTTTAATAATATTAGTATTATAAAGCTTAAAACAAAAAAAAAAATATATATATATTCATGTAATCTTGCAATCGTAGTTTGTATCTGTAAGTAATTGATTGTTTTGTCACCTTGAACGCTCTTTCCAAAATTTATTTTTAATAACGAAAACAAAGTATGTAATGTTAGTATATACTTATAAGATTTTCCTAAAGCTTCAAAATAAAAACATTTTTTTAATTTATTAGATTTTTATATTTTATATCCTTTCCTGAGTGTCAGTTATTTAATATTGTTGTTGAATAGATATAATGCTTTCAATTTCTATCTGTGGTAAAAAACGTGAACACCAAACAATCCCTCGATGGCGCTTTAACAGAAAGTAAAGCCACAATTATGATTTATCCTAAATTAAATATTAAATACGCTTGCTGATAAGCGAAGATTATTGAACTTCGGTATTTGGTAGCCTATATTTTCTAAAGCATACTAATGATATAAGTAAGATGAAACATAATTATTATGTTTAAATAAATAAAAATATTCGTTCCAATATTTCCATAAAATACCAAACTAGTATAGATTATATTTTGTAAATACCACTTCGATTCATCAAATTGACTTTGATAATATATACATATACATATAATCAAGTCAGACATTATAGTCACGAGTATGGTCACGAGTGTCAAAGAAATCGTTATTGTCAGTCATTCATATAATATAATATCTCAACTAGAACTTTTGGGGTGAAAGTTGCAACTGATAAATTTGGCAAGCTTATATATGAACTATCACAGATCATTTTTAGTTAAATATTTACTAAAAAGCATAAATTTACTAACATTTTTCACACTTAAAATAAAAATAATTACCCAAACCGATGTGGTCAGACTAGAGCAATAATTTTTGAAGATATACTTCTTTAGGCGCGTTATGAAAAATTGATGAGAGTGAAATTTTACGATGCGCGCGCACCTGAGACAAAGTTGTCAGTGTGATTATAGCGTGCGCGAGCGAGATGGGAATAAGACAATCTACAAGTAAAAAGAAATAGAATATGCGTGAAGTTAGCAGCTATGCCAAGAATTTTGAATGACCATAATGACATTTACCTTTTAAACAAATAAAGGAGTTTTAATTATTTTTTTAAAGAAATTTAGCAATGCTTTTTCACAAAGACCTATTGTTACTTAGTTAAAAGGTTATGAAACATACCAAGTTATTAAATTGAATGAATAATATAATAAAATAATAAATAATAATAATAATTGTTATTAATATTAATTAATAATTGAATAATATACTAAATATTATTAAATTGTTTACGTTAAATATTAATTATTAATTATATTTAAAAAAATAAAGAAAGCCAAAGAAGTATAACTTCTTACGCGCGTAAATAAGTACACGCACCCTTTTTTTTGTATCAATTTCGGGAAATTTGTTAATGTTAATTAAAACTTATCTTGTTATATATTGTTAAAAAATCCTTATATGCTGAATTTAAATTCTGTATAAATATAAAAAGGTACACTTCATAAAACTGGTATTGTTTACTGTATATGCATTATCAAAACTTTTGACTAACGGTGTATATGAAATGAGTTGTAGAGGGTCACCCTAAACACCTTCTAAGATATGACACAAGCATTGCTTGAGTGTGCCTACTGCCTTTGCTTGTGCTATTGATTTTGAGTGAACATAGTTGTATAAGAAGAAAATTTAGTCTTACACCTGATTTAAGCTGTAAATTAAAGGGAATATTAAAATATGAATGTTACCAAAATTTTTGTGAAGAAGCCCTGACCCTTGAAAGAGTTTAGATTCATTCTTATTTGAGGTACGCATAGATTAGTTTTATTCAGTGCCGATCTTCCTTTTTATTTGCATTTTCAATATTGCTGTGCGTTTTGCGTTTGTTTATAGATTATTACTTAAATAACAACGAACTGCTTAAAATTTCATAGAGAAAATCGAAAAGCTGTGGCGCGTATAGATACGATTATTTTTACTTTTCCATAAAAATTACATTTTGACGTGTTATCTGGTCATTTATGCACTTTGCATGAGTTTATTGTATTAGAATGTATGCATTATCTGGCAAAATATAAAATAACTTTCTATTAACATGCTGTTTCTGTGAAAATGGTGCTGTTACACATGCCCAAACATTTGTATTGTTTGTATAAGGTCTTGTTGGCACCATTATTCCTAGAAGCAAAATGTATGTCTAATGTAATGAAATGTGTATAAACCTGTATAATTATTAATGAGTCCTTTTGCAAGCAAACTTATATTTAAAAAATCTTCTTAAATATTCTTTATTCCATTCTATGCACTCTCTGACATAAATATCAAATAACTTTCTATTAACATCCTGTTTTAGTGAAAATGGTGCTTTTACACATGCCAATACATTGGACTGTTTGTATAAGGTCTTATTGGTACCATTATTGCTAGAAGCAAAAAGTATAACCTGTGTTAATGATACATGCGAGCAAACCTAAGTTTAATAATGATGCATGGCTATTAGATACTAGTGCTACAGCGCATAGTCAGAAAAAATATAAATAGGAATTTAATTATGTTCTCTTATAATAACTATTGGCTTTAACTTTAACTTAAACATCATATTATACATAATATAGTTAATCATATCTTTAATCTTAATTTAATTTTTCTTCATACTATGTTACTAACACATGATTAGATTAAAAAAAATCTAATCTGTATAGCTGTAACAAGGTATACATACAAGATATTTAAAGAAAAATTGTCTGAATTTAATTATACTTTTAAATCTATTGTGTCCTACTCATGTAAAGTGATGCAACATTTAAATAAAAGATGTTGACTTTATAACGCTGATTTATTTTTTAAACTGGCATTTTTCTAAAAAAAACAATGTTTATAATACCAAGTAATGAAAGATAACAAAATTAATTACAGGTGTAATAAATTATCTAAATGATACGAGAGTTTTATGATAGTACAGATGAAGATGACATGGAAAGCCAGTATCAGGTAGAACCTGACTGTCTTGTTTTAACAAGACCTGATCGGGATATGCATAATAGATGTTGTGGCGGTAAAGCATGGTGTATAAGGGTAAGTACTTTGCATTAACTGTTATTGCCTTGAAGAAAACATACCAATTAAATTAGACACATTGATTATAGTTTTAAAACCAGGTCAATAATTGTATTGACGTTATTTAAGTAATGTTGTGGTTTTGTAGGCATTAAGAATAAATATAAGTAAAACAGTTTGTCCTATAAGACTACAGAAATTTACTCAAATTAGCACAGAAGAACTACTTTATCTGTTAATAGTTTAGTGTAACTTCACTCTTTATGGGTCTTTAACATATGATAAGCCTGTGCCTCATACATGTCCGTGACATGCTGGTATCCTCACAAGGTTTACCATCATACAAAATTCATTGGTGTGTGGGCAGGATATCAATACAGTACCTCAAGTGGAATGCTAAAGCCATTACCAATAAAACTAATTATTATTTTATAAACATAATTTTCAGGATATCTGTGGCATTATATGTGCTGTCCTGACATGGCTTCTCATCCTATACGCGGAGTTTGTGGTGATGATGGTTATGCTGTTACCTGGAGTATCAACATACCCCTTCTACAGCTACGCCAACATAATAGTCTTCCAAACTCTAGCTTTCCTCGCTTTTGCCTCACATCTTAGGACCATGTTCACAGATCCTGTAAGTATGTCGTCTAGGAGATATAGAAATCATCTATGAAATATGTATATTCAAATTCAGTAATTTTGTATCCATAGCAGTCGATTCCTTTGTATTTACGTAAATTTTGAATATAATATAGTTACGCAGATGGGTTTTAATTAAACGTTTCTCAATCTTTCAACAACTTAGAGAAGTTTTCAGCAAGTTGAAATGTTATTTATGACGAGAAAATTGGATATTACCTCTCTTTTTCTTTACACTCTGGAGTTGGAAACATTTCTTCAGGCTATTTCAGAGCGAGTGTAGTTACCTGGTACAGTTTTAAGGACTGCTTTTACCCTTTTGATAACCTACTCTAGAGTGACCTTTCTGGGTGGGATAAAGATGGAAAAATACGCGAGAAAGGGGAGATCAGAACCTTCTGGAAGTCAGACTGAACTTTCGAGAATGCCGTACAACAAGGAGGGAGTGATGAACGAGTGGCAAATAGAGCATGAACATTCTAGATTGGTGCTAAAAGAATAGAACACAATCTACTCATTACCACTCTTGGCCAGAAAGCTCTCGAATATTCACGATTATTCCACGGAGATATTTCTGAAGGTGTTAAGTGTGTCCGCACAATTTCGTCCACTCACCCCTGTCTTAGGCAATACTCAGGGACTGGGTGTTTGTCGAAGAATCGATCAGGGTAATAAAAGCAGGCCTAAACGCAAGCAGTTAATTCAGTCAAAAGTCAAAGATGAACTTCAAGAGATATAAGTGCGAATATTAAGTAATCAAGTGAGAGTGTTAAGTGTGGTTAATTAAAGTAATGAGTGATAGTGTTTTGTTTTGTGCAAGCGTTTTTAACTGTACCGTAGTCGGTATGTTTTAGTGCAATCAAATTCTCGTTATTTTAAATAAATTAAATTAATCCTTGTAGATTTCGTCTAAGATATACGTCTTTTCTATCCGTTGGTCGTAACAATATTTTAATTTACATAAATTAAATGCAATTTTACATTGTATACTGCAAATCTTGATCTCTATCGTAACAAAATACTATTAACAGCATTCAGATAAGACATATTGTGAAACCAAGTCACCTCTGCCATCTTGACTTGTTTCTGCGGGATAAAATAAGGTTTATATTACCTTTAGCGGCAGAAAAAGACAGAAAATTTACCATTAATGTAAATGCGTTCTTACTTTTAATCTATGCTAATTAAGCTAAACATTTAACATTCGCTGGAACGATGAAGGAATCGTGAGGAAACCGGCTTTCCTTAGACCCAAAAACTCGACGGCATATGTCAGGCTAACAGAGTACAGAAATAAAAAGTTTGTAGCGCCACTGATTTATTTTATTTTCCTTGTTCTATATGTTTTTTATATACAGATAAAAAACATAATTACTAAAAATATCTGTCATGCGAAATTGAAATAAGATTTATTATTCTACTTTGTGGAACTAGCTGTACATTGAAGTGTTTCCAAACCATTTCAACTTAGGGTCCTTCAAAATAGCGTATCCTATAAAGTCGGCAACGGATTTGCGAGTGTAAGTGTCCATGGCTGGGCTGTGTCACTTAAAATAAGGGGATCCCCCTGCCCGTCGCGACCTGTTCTATTAAAAAGAAAAAAAATCTATTTATAAATAATTTAATAATACTGTCTGATAAACCATTTGCTGACGTTGTTTACTTAGTTATTATAATATATCTTAACGAAAATCAACTGATTTAAAAGTTATAGCTTTTAATTTTAAGTGATTTGAGAATTATTATCACGTAGCACACTCCACATACACACCCTCACCTTCACACCATCACACAACACTGCCGGATTAGATATTACTTAGTTAAAATAATATATTTTCTTTTTCCTTTCATAAGTGTTTGAACATTTTTGTATATATTATGTATTTCATCTTTGGCTGTATCTTTAGTATAATTGATTTTTGTTAAGTTAGATGTAAGAGTACGAAATAAATAAATAAAAACAATGCGATTTCTCAGACAGTGCCGCGAATTTAAAAAAATAGATTTTAAATGTTTTATTTAAAAGTACATCAACATAATGTAAATGTTAATAAATTTCAGGGCGCTGTACCAAAAGGCAACGCGACGAAGGAGATGATAAAACAAATGAGCTTCCGTGAGGGTCAGGTTATATTTAAATGCACCAAGTGCTGCAGCATCAAGCCGGAGAGGGCTCACCATTGCTCCGTGTGCCAGAGGTGCATCAGGAAGATGGACCACCATTGCCCCTGGGTGAATAACTGTGTTGGAGAGAACAATCAAAAGTATTTTGTGCTATTTACTGTGAGTATATACTAACCTTTTCAGGATCTATTAATAGAATAAAACTTATTTAATTTCTTAACAACAACAATTCAATTACATCAACAAAACAACAACAAACTAACAAAAACAACTGTCAAGGACAACAACCATCTTACTTAAAGTACTCGGAGAAACGGTTTTTATAGTTAAAACTAAAACTCATGATTCAATTTACATTACAAATATTATTAAGTAAACTGCCTTTTTTCCTGTGAATTATGAACCGCCTTAAAAACCCCCTTTATATACTAGCAGTAATAAACTATATAATAACCGAAATAGTATACACTGGCTTGAAATACAATATTTGTTAATGAATGATAATTTCGATCTGTAGCACAATTTAACCACATACTGTCAAAACATCTTCAATAACCAATATTAATCTAATTCCTTTACATTTTTTTTTTGGGGATTTTATGACCTGGCATTTACAACCTTTAGGTCAATTATTCCTTTACACAAATTTTACCACAGACTATCATAAGATCTTCATTAACAGATAATAGAAATTAATTTACACAACTTTTATCACATACTGTGTCAAGATATTGGCAGGTCTTCATTAACAGTATAAATTCCATTACACAATTTTGACCACAGACTGTCATAAGATCTTCATTAACAGATAATATAAATTAATTTACACAACTTTTATCACATACTGTGTCAAGATATTGGCAGGTCTTCATTAACAGTATAAATTCCTTTACACAATTTTGACCACAGACTATCATAAGATCTTCATTAACAGATAATATAAATTAATTTACACAACTTTTATCACATACTGTGTCAAGATATTGGCAGGTCTTCATTAACAGTATAAATTCCTTTACACAATTTTGACCACAGACTATCATAAGATCTTCATTAACAGATAATATAAATTAATTTACACAACTTTTATCACATACTGTGTCAAGATATTGGCAGGTCTTCATTAACAGTATAAATTCCTTTACACAATTTTGACCATAGACTGTCATAAGATCTTCATTAACAGATAATAGAAATTAATTTACACAACTTTTATCACATACTGTGTCAAGATATTGGCAGGTCTTCATTAACAGTATAAATTCCTTTACACAATTTTGACCACAGACTGTCATAAGATCTTCATTAACAGATAATAGAAATTAATTAACACAAATTTAATCACATGGTGCGTTTTCCAATTACAGAGCATTTTGCGACTCAGTGCCGCACAATGCCGCATAATGCTGAAGCTTAATTGGAACGTGAATTAGTTTTCAAATGCATCAGCAGAGTGCGCTAAGTCAGTGTTGTAAAAAAAATGTTGAATTTGTATGAATTGAGTAAGCAACCTCATTAATGTATAAATAATGTGGTAAACAATAATAATTGGTTGAAAACTTTTTACGCTTATTTTAATCATCAAATTATTTCATTAACATTTTTTTTATTGACATAATAGAAAACCTTTAAAGAATATAAGGTTTTAACAAGCTAAATTAACAGTAAAATATTTAGTTTCATGTAAGAAGTTTACATCATTTACATTTTGAGTAATATTTTTTAATGATTTCTAAAAAAATTATATACTTTTTCAAAACCATTGCAATTTTTTCTAAAGTATAATCCTGTAAAATAAATTTGTTTACAGATCCGAATTTTAAAATAAAATTGTATTCATATTTTAAATGTGGAATATAAAAAAGTAACTATTTATCATCCATACTAATTTTTTTTTTTAGCAGTTTGAAATAACCTTAATTATTTTCAAAATCTACGACGAAACGAAAGCCTTACAAATTTTTCAACAATAAATAATATTTACTAACGAAAATTTCGATAAATGCCAACTTAAAGAAAAATACTGGTCAATTTTCTGTCACTGTGTTGGTATTGTTTGCGAGAGCATTCGTTTTGAGAGTGCTCAATTGTGCGAAGCGTTGCTGTAGTTGGAACACTCGACGTTGAGCATTATGCCGCAAAATGCGCTCTAGTGCTGTAATTGGAAAACGCACATTCTGTGTCAAGATATTGCCAGATTTAAATAACAGATTCATTTCGCCATAACTTACAGTTTTACATCGCAGCCATCTCAATTCACTCTTTGACGCTATCAGTTTATCAATTTGTGACGTGTATCCGTCACGAATGGCGTGACTGTAGCACATATTCCCCGCCGGCCACAGTTGTATTGCTGTTATTTCTCATCGCCGAGGCACTGTTATTTGCAATATTCACCGCTGTCATGCTGGGAACACAATTGCATGCTATTTGGAATGATGAAACGGTAAGTTTTTTTATAAAACAGTGATAAGATACCGCCCATGGACATTACCAGAAGGCTCGTGCGTTGTCAGCCGGAATTGGTGCGTTCTTGAGACTAAGCCGAATAGATTGACGATTTCTTAGATTGGATGACGAATACTGATGGTGGTTTATAGTGATAGATAGTTTCATAGTTCGATTCATAGTTCACAAGTAGATCAGCCTTTTGTGCCTGGCCATCAATTTTTAAGTCTAAGACGTTCCGGTTTCCTCACGATGTATTCCTTTACCGTGCGACCGAGTTCTTTGACATATATAATCGCCTGTCAAATAATACTAAAATTATATTATTTTTGAAGGTTTCGATAAAAAATATAAATATTCTTAAATAATCCCTCCTAAAGTAGGGGGCTGTTGAGTGTCCCCCTGTCGTGTTTGTTTATTTTCTTTTTAACACTCGCTCGTTCGGTGAAGTCAAAGAATCGTTGGTCAGGCACAGAAGGCTGGCTTGGCTATTTAAAACAATTCCGAATTGTATTGTAGCGTTACTTGTTTTTTTGTATGCTATAAATTGATGTATGTAATTATAGGGTATCGAACAATTAAAGAAGGAGCAAGCCCGTTGGATACGCAAATCTCGGTGGAAGAGTATACAATCGGTATTTGGTCGTTTTTCTATTCTTTGGTTTTCACCGTTCACGCAACCTTCACCAAAGACAAGACTAGAGAGTTATTTGTATAGCGTTTAACGTCTATGGGTACAGAAACGGGACAGCGTACTGACATATGTCAGAACCGTTTGGATTTTGGCATCTGACAAGTGCGTAGTCTCGACTCCTGTCACCCTAAGCGGCCTTTAGCATAACAATGCCGGATTCATAGACACATAAGCACAGACTCATATAAGTAGACATAATATACACAGTTATTAACAAACATGACTTATTTTTTGTTTTCTACATTTATAAATATTTTGACATACAAAAGAGCTTGATTGAAAGTTTTTACTTAAAGAAAACGATGCGTTTGTTAGAATTGTCTGTGAATATGTCCTTTGAATGGTGAGGCCTAAATAGTCATCAACAGTGAAATAGTAGAAAATATGCGTAACCGTATTCATAAATGTATTACAAGCCTTCATATGTTTTGTCTTTGTCATTCTTTTGTTTTTCGAAGAAAATGAAAGGGAAAATATACTTTAACACAGTGCAGACTCAAATACAGTTCGTATTGTCAATGTTTTTATCAAAACGGTGTTTTAGTCAAATCGGTTACAATAATGATTAAGGTTTTATTAATCGTATATACAGAGATAATACATATTTAGCGACAATTGTCACCATGACACGCATTCAAATACAGATACTTAATAATACAGCTTATAGTACGTTTATGAATGATATCTTCTTTCCGAAGCTTAGTATTCAAATTTTAATGAAATTTAAATTTGGAACATTCATTTTGGTCTTAAAGTTATTTCTGACATTTTAAGAATTGACATATGCTTTGCTTTATGTCAAAATGTAATGTTACTATTAAGATTAAATGTATATATTATATAATAAAGCTGTAGGTTACTTCATAGTACATATTTTAAGTATGATTTATTTATGACATTTAAGGGCTATTTTATTAACTTATTGGGTTATACAACAATGGGTATATCAGTATATAAGCAATACTATTTAATTAACGGGATTATCAGATTAGTGGCCTATCAATTATTTTAAATAAACTAAAGTTCTCGTGAGGTAACTACTTGAACATGACGTATACCAGATAAAAAAGCAATATAGCAAATTTATAAAAGCCTCCATGGCTAAAATGTTGAAATACTCTAATTATGGTAATAAATGTTAGAATATAAAACAAAAGACGTTCCATTTCATTTGATAGTCCATGATTGGACTGTGATGAGATAGCGCAACATTCGGAGTAATAAGAGCGTGTGCTGGATTTTTTTTATTAGGGAAACCAGCAGTCGGCGTCGAGCCTAACGCAGTGGGTGGTTCAGTCGCGAGGAGTTGTGTAGAGAAAGAGGCAGAAAGGCATAGGAATGTGCCACGGCAATTGAGTTTCGTAACACCGAACAGGGTACGGAGCTGTTGATTCAACGTGAGCATGGATTGGAATAGGACCGTTTCCGCATAGAATCTATTGCTGCACATGAGCTGGATAGCGTTTAACGCACCTGCATATGCGATTTGCTCGGCGTTTATTTCCGCTGTCTTGACTCGAATCAAACTCCGAGTACAGGGATCACATCCTGTGAGAGCGTGGCTGTACGATCGGGAGAGAGAGAGATGCACCTCTTGGTTGGACCACGTTGAGTTGGGTGAGCCGGGACCGGTGTGCTGCAGGAATTCGTGGCCACGAAGGTGAACTATGCCGCTTACAGTAGATACACACTGAACTGTGACTGGCATCGCGAGTAACGAGTAAACGAAACGAGCTCTGGATGATGACCCTCGGTGTGGAAGGATCGACAATGACGATCAACGTTCTTGTGTTCACAGCGCAGGAGGGAGAATGTGCCTCGCGCAGCCCTGTCGATTGAGGATGTGGACGGGACAGTGCGTGTGTTCCGTTTATGTATGTGCGGGTGTCAATGCACAGAACGAATATCGATCTGCGTATCTATCATTGATTCGATAGGGACTCGGTCAGCATGACTCCGGACCGAAGGACCATGGACTGTAAACGGTTAATGACCGTGATTATTGGACTAAAGAACTTGACCAATCAAAGTGTAACGAGCCGTCGCTTATTTTACATTCTTTATGACTTGATGTCTTGTATTATTTATAAATTAAATTAATTAAAAATAATATTGACTAAAGCTTATTAGATATAAAACTTTTTGTAGTGAATTTGAATTTCGGTATTTTTATATGGCTTTAAATGTCGCACACAAAATGTGAAAGCATATTTCATTAACATTTAAAGTAGAACAAATACGATCTCATAGTTTTTTTAATTACATTAAATTTCAAAATATTATAAATCATGTATTAATTTAAAAAAAATATAAAGTTTATAACAACGGCACCCTTTTCGAGGTCGTTTCAATTCAATTATTTTAAAACGTTGAAGGAATTTCCATTGAAAAGTGTCGCGCGTTGTAACTTTGCTTATTATTGTGTTTGTTTAATCTTTATATGAAGTCTTATATTACCGTGTGCCTACATTACACTTTAGTAGTAATGTATTCCGTTGTCTAGGGAACCCGTGCCTTTCAAAGGTTTCACAATTTATCATAGATTAAGAAGCTTTTGTTAACAAAAGTTTGAAACCAACAAATAAATAACAAAAACACCAATAAACAATATATAAAATAAATATTATATAAAATAATAGTATCCTATTGGAATTTAAGATGCTTAATGTAACGTCTTTTGATTGTTAATCTCGTCTTGACACTTGTTTAATAAAACCTAATATCCGTTGCGTTAAAAGCAATAACAGCCCTGCGATTCTGTAACTCACTTTTCGAACTCACACAGCGGTTTTCGCATCGGCGGTCGCTCTGAAATCAGTCATGAAGCAGTCATTTTATGATTTGGCATTCTGAAAAGGTAGGAGCTTGTAGTTTATTGTTTATCAGAATGCCAAATCATAAAATGACTGCTTCACGACTGATTTCAGAGCGACCGCCGATGCGAAAACCGCTGTGTGAGTTCGAAAAGTGAGTTACAGAATCGCAGGGCTGGTAAAGAAAATTGTTGATGTTTATATCTAATACTCTTTTTATACAGATGAACACATTATGTACTTTAATAAAAAACTTTGATAAGTTTCTAACGCATTATAATAAAATTACCAACTAACAAATAATATATATTTTGAATTCTAAAAGTTTTTTGAAATTTTGTATAACAGTTGAAGGCCCGAATATAAATAAATTATCTAGAAATGCGAAAGTTTAATATTGTAATGCATCAAAGTATAGGAGCGTATATCTGAATCAGTCTCATATCAATTTGAAAAGGTTTATTTTCTATACAAGCACGTAAAGACGAGGCCATCAACAATGATTTTTTTCTTTTTGGCAACTAACCTTACTTGAGTGTTTTGTCTATGACTTGAACTCTTGTCATGTCGATAGTTTCGTATTGATATTGTAGATGCGAAACGTTAAGAAGCTTTCTTTAACTTTCTTACCGCATGTTCCTTTAAGTTCAATAAACGTGTTAGTAATACGTTTTAATAAAGATATTTTTGGGTCATTTTTCTATATTTTTAATGGTGATAAAGTATTATTTAATAATATAAATAGGTTAACGGTAGATGGTTATAGTGACTTAGATTTGAAAAAAAACATGTTCTTCGGATAATTGAATAGAATTTTATCAATTACTACCTGTGCCTCACATTTTCTCAGAAAGCTGATGGTGTTGCTTGGGTAGCGCCATTGTAGATAAATGGAAAGACAGCTCAGGTTTAAGAAATCACCAAACAACTATATGATATATAAACATTTATTAATATACGTTTATTTAAATGCTACTAAAACTTGTACCTATAGGTTATAATACTTCCGCATAAGGCTAACAATGGCTTGATTTCACGAAACAGAACGTATACACGAGAATATATGTGGTACACATACATTAGGTATGTTTTTACAATTTAGGCCAATTTTACTGAGCGATTTCATTTGACGGCAGCAGATCTAGATTTTACTATAGAAACTGTTAATCTGTAATCTACGGGTCGGGCGCACTTTCGCCTATTATATTAAACTTCGTTGCAATAAATATTTTATAAATGGTTAGTTTTTAATTGGCAATAAAGTGAATAAATTACGCTTTGGACCGGTTGATGTTTAGTGTAGAGTTTCGCTTAACGGTTTTCAAATTTAGGCTTTGTAAACAATTTTTCGTCTTAAAAATGTTAATATATTCTATAAGGAATTGAATATAAGTGTTCGTTTAGGCCGAGAATGCCAAGGCTATTTTCTGTTGTATTCGAGTTTTTAGAAATTTTAAATTTACAAAAATGTCCTCCCTTTGTCTTGTGCTTCATAAGCATTACCGAATTCAGAAACGGTTGGGGTTATGTGTAAGCTATATGATTTTCCTTCACCATTAGAGTGGAGACAGTGCTTAGTTTGACAGTCAAAAACGTTTTGGACACGGACTAGCAACCCGCTAAGTCCTGATTGACCAATCTTAGTACTTCGAATTACAACTGCCAGCAAAAATACAGTCGACATATAGATAACGTTGTTATAGATAATTTAATTCCTGAATACGGCAGTAGTGAGTATACAAATGTTACGCGCCCTGTACACAGCGACTTTATAAACTTTCAGCGATATTAAGTCACAAATGTAGATATGAAACCCTAACTAATGCCTTCTCACCAAACTCTGTCGCCTTTACAATATGTAGAATAAGCGTAAAAAATAAGTGTAAATTAAATATGTGAATAACGTCATTCCTTCATGGCTTCGGCCATAGTTTATGGTATAACTGAATTGTGGGTTATCAATGTTAAAGTTTATTGATACCTATTATATTTTGTAAAGATTTTTATAATTTTATCTATTTGTTGATGTTACTTAATGTTTCATCATCATATTATTTTAATAAAAATATATATTTTCGTAATTCATATTGTTTTTAAAGAATTATTCTCTTTTATAAATTTGATGCGGTATATCTTGGGGATACGAATGGTACATTCCATACCTATTTTAATATTCAAAGTGTATTATTTTACATTTTTCCGAAACGCGAGATTGGGCTATAAACGTAATGATTGATGGGAGCAGGCCTCCTATGCCGAATTCCCAATATACGAATGAGAAGCTGTCCTTTTACGTTGGATTTTTTTTATTTATAAATATTTTTTGTGAGAATGTATATGGGAGCGTTCAAGTATACGTCACGCAATTTTTGGAAATTATTGACCCCCCCCCATGTAACGCGCCGTAACGTTTTTCCGTGCCCAATAGTAAAACGTTTCGTGACCACCCAGTGACTCTTTATAGCTAAAAGTTACCATTATGTGCTGTAAAGTACTGGAAAGTCGAAAATAATAATAACAATAACGCGTAATTGAATCCCTGCCCCGCATCGTAACGTTTTACGAAAGGACAAAAAGTTCGTTACGTAACACTTGAACGCTCCCTATGAAAAAATAACAAGTACTTTTTTAAGCAATGTAAGAAAATGTAACGCATTGCCTGTTTTACAAAAAGTACAAATAATAATCCGTGGGGATTACATACCAACTATTTTCGGAACTGCTCTTTTGACACCAGTCCGCAGTTCATTGTTTTAATTAGAAGTAGGTGGTCATTGTTGCATAGGTATTTGACTTAGCATCTCATATTTACACCCTAATAAATATCTCTCACTTGTTTCTACTTATAATATGCGCTTTAATGAATAATGATTTATAAGAGGGATATAGAAATTAATTTGTAGGCATTTTTTATTGAATATGGTTTCGAAGCTTTTAAATGATAGAAATGTAAAATCGTAGTATAATGGGGTAATGTTATCGATAGGTTAAAACCCATTCCAATATTTAACTAACGGTTTGTTAACGAGAGGAAGGCGGTTGTGCAACGCACCTACAAATTTTGATTATATGTTTCATTAGACACATCTAAAAAATATTTTCTAATCTAATTAAGATTTTCGAAACCTATTAAATCTGAGAAAATGTAATGTTGTTTTATTTACAAGTTACCTGTCGCTCCTTAAATTAATTAACCTTCTAGTGAAGGTAGAATTATCAATATCGGATCACTATTTCATAATTCATTAATATAGCAGGTATGGAATGTTTTGTCCCTATCACATGTGACACAAGCCTGCTTATAAAATCCAGTCAAGATGCTGATGAGTTTAGGTTCCCAAATTCAATAATTTCGTACCATGAACATAACTAAGGTAACATTTTTAGAATCGCTTCGTTTGTCATAGTTTCATGGCGAAACGGTCAAATTTTGGTTCAGCCGCCAGGTCATGGTACTTTCATACAGATGAAATCAAATGTGTTTCATACAAAATGAATATCATGTGGAAACATACAGGGGCTGATTTATTGCATGTCATGGTGTGAATAAGCGATGCATCTCAGTTGTAGGTTATCAATAGGCTGGCAATAAGAGCTCATGGTGGTCTATCTGGTCATCTCTATCAATATTTAGTAGTATTTATTATCCCTTTTTCTCGTTTCAGTATAGTATACCTGTATATTATTGAGTTTTTAGAAACGTAGATGATTGGTTACTTTAAGAAATAGTATTTATATAAGAGTTCAATGATTAAATAGATGTTTTATTAGTAAATAAAAAATGCAAGGGCATCCATTACTATATCAATAAAATTAGATTATGTCGTCGCTTCCTATGGCACTAATATATAAATGTTACTAGTAACAAAAAATTTATGGAGTCATTGGCTTATTAGGGGAGGAAGTTTTGATTTGAAAAGACGTCTCCTTACACATCTCAACGTTCTGGGGTTTGAGACATAATCACAGTCACTAACGCCATACGAATTTGTATGAAAATTGTCACGTGACAATTATGAACAACAAATATGAGCAATTTCGTGAGACTTTGTCTAAAGCCCCTAATCGAGTGTGTCATTATCTCCTTTTAAAGACACGGTTAGCCACGCTCTTCAAAACGAACAGAAGTCACATCTAAAACTGAAATAGCATCGATTTAAACGTTGTAAAATAATGCTCAATATAATTCAATAAGGATACAATTAATGATAATTTAAAGCTTAAAATTAAACAGTTTGCTATAAAATTAATGGTAGGCGCTAATAAATGTAAATTTTTTACAATAGCACTTTGAAATGTAAGTTGATGAATATTTTAATCGACCTTTTTACATTGACTTACTAAGGTCCTAAGTCCTCTAGAATTGTCAGAGTATATCTAAAAAAAACTGAAAACCACTGGTTCTATTAATTTTTTTTAATTGCAGCAGTAGATTTGTATTCTTAAATAGGTAAAAGATTTCCATGAACAATCTACCCTAGTCAAATATTATAATATTTTAGAAGCCAATGTATATGATATGAACAGGATCTGTATAATATCTCTGTAACTTTTAATAGCGATACTGATGCCAACGTTTATTTATGCAAGATCGATGTACTTCTCTCAAAATCAAGTTGTTGCTCTACTCTGCCTCATCCCCTCACCATCTACATGTTTCCAGAGATAGCGAGGCCTTTTTAAAACAATATGGTGGACAAATGAAAATTTGGAACACTAATTACTAATAATAAAATGGTCTGACGATATATTTTGACATATTGTGACATTTATGTTGGATTGGATATAATGGATTTGATAAATAATAATTATTAAATAGCAGCACAATATTATTAATATAATATATAGACTGTCACTTTGCTATAAAGTAGATTTTGACTTTGGATGTAACATCATATAAACGAATTACGAAATTCAAAACAAAGTTAAGATTCCATCTGAAATCGTAAAGTTAACTACAATTTAATAACGAAATATGATGTTTTTCTATGGCATTTTAAGCCAGTGTAGTATATGTTCTATAGCGAATAGTAAATTCCCCACTGCGATGACTTAATAAGTGGCCACTCGAGTAAGGGAAAGTATTGGCGAGCCTTCGCTTGTAGCGACCGCGTCGTCCAAGGTGACTAACATTACCTAATCGGTGTCTACATCATGAAGGTACGTCATACGCTTTTTATTGATATGAAGAATGTATTTTATATAAAGTTAAATATCGAAAATCAATGTACACTTAACGTAAAAGTATATACTGCCAGTTTTTGAGAACTCGCAAAGAGCGAGTAGAGCTGGATATACACTTGAAATGTATAAATATGGCGGTGACGTAATTTTGCGTTTATAAATAAGTTGTTTCTACGTTTTGTTACATCTTTATGTATACGTATATAATTCTACTGTACGTGTGTCACTGAACTCCTCTTTAACGGCTGGACTGATTGGAATGAATTTTTGTATGCGTTTGGGTGGCGCTCTGGATGATTTAGATTCACAAATCAGCCCGGCAGATGGCGCTACAGTCGGTACTTTCATACTTTATTAAATATCCTAATCGCTTGAAATATCATGCAGGACAACGTCTGTCGGGTCCGCCGGTTCATTATGGAGTCGAAGATTCGTTTGAAGTCGCAGCGAGAGATGTGCAGTTTTTTAACCGCGATTTTTTGTTACACGCGTAAACAAACAACGTGTATTTTTTCCTTAAAAATTCAATTTAATATTAATTCCTTAAAGAATTTCCAAACCGAGTAGTGACTGACTGAAACTAACTCCTGAATAGTGCGAGAATAACTAGTACACTCACTGAACATTTAAGAACTGTCTACAAAATTTCCCAGGTCAATGTTTAGGTACCTATATAAGAACTATATTAGAGCTCTTTCGAAGGTTCGTATACATTATTTGCAGGTGCTGAGTGTGTTGTGTTTTTTCGCTGTGATATCGCAATGCGTAAACGCACCCTACGATCCTGAGGATGAGGTATTAAAGACAGTGCTGCCTTCGAATGGCCAATTCGAGGCTTTCTACCCAAGAGTAGCGCACGGCGTGCCGAACGGGTCATCGCGACCTGCGCATGGTCATGGTAGCTTCTACAAGCACCGTAACCCTGCATTGGTTGATGTTAAAAACGCAGCCGCCTACGGATTCCGATTCGATGGTGGGAGGAGATTCAATTTCGATGACGAATAAACAACTATATTTTTTAAATAAATGTTTTATTGTGTGCTATATATTGTTTTGTTAAATTTAAACATAATACGCATTCAAGATAAATCGCTCAGAAATACTTGAATGGGATGTTGTCCAGCTTCGCTGGTTGTTAAATACTTTAAAAAGCTGTTTAATACATTTCTCTATATACTGTGTCTATGGTATGGGAGTTATTTATGTATTTAGAAAAACCTTAGAGCTAACTTAACTAAGTATAACACAAAATATTGTTTAAATCGAAACGCACGTTTACAGACTTAACAATAATATGAGAGAGAGAATGCGTGTAGGGTGTGGACCACGGTGTGTTTTTGTGTGTGAGTGTAACTGAAAATGTGTATTAAAATCGTGTTGATTTAGTGCCATTAATTATTTAATTAAAATGCTGTGAATTATTTGTTTAAAAAATGTTTAAAAACGGGCGTTTCAATAAAAGCGTAACATCTCGTAACACTTTAAACTAAAGTACATCCTAGCTTAGCGCTTATGATCGATATGTCTGACTTCTGATTTGATAATAGTTGAATACTTTAGACTACCAAATTTCAATGTTGTAAATCTAAAAATGACATAGCCCAGCCACTAAACCTTTAATATCAACTATAATACCAATAAAATAACAACTATACAGCCTGCGGGCAATTTAAATAAATTTGTCGGCCACGCAGCGGCTAACCACATCTTAATAGCAATTAACATTTATCTGAGACGATGAAATTCTAATCGTTTTTCTATGTAAAGTAGACGTAGAGTAGCTCCATCTATTGGCTATTCGGTTATTTGTTTTATTATACAAGAAAGGAATGTCATGATAACTGTAAATGGTCCCATTGGAGCCCTAATGGCTGGCTCGGCTTGACCGTCGCTAATCCGTTATATCTGATATTATCTTTGTTGGTTACTAATTACATATGTGTTTGGGCACCTGTCATATAAGGTGCGTGGGTGTATTCTGTGCTTATGTATACATACAAATGGATAAAAATTATATATTTTTCCACAGTACATCCGTACTTACTATGTGTATAATATCTTGCCTTGAAAAATGATTATGCAAAATATACTTGCTAATTAATATCTAATAATATATTATACACATATTTAAGGTGAACCTCGAACCTTGTATTGAAGCAGAATATAATTATATATTTTTTTTATAAAAAAGAGGGCAATCGTGCTTAACATCCCTGTCCCTGCTTGATGTAAAGTGGCACATGGACACTCACAATGCTAGACGGCAAGTGCGTTGCCGGTTTTTAAGAATACGCAATTACAACCCAAACAAGACCAAAGAGGTCCTATATTATATATTTTTATTATGTGCACGTCAGCTGCTTGTGTTTTGTCATCAGGTTAAGTTGTTTTACAGCACTACCACGACCACACTTTTGAGTATCGCACGCTACTACAAAACTTGCAGGCTAACAGAAAAAATATAGAGTTCCCAGTCGACATCCTTGGCTGAGTATAACAGCGGAAATACTTAAAAACATAATAAAGTCCCTCACTACAATATCAATCAAAGGTAATTAAGAAGCTACGGAGCCGAAGAAAGTTTTTGTTATTCCATTGTAATGTTGACGGAGCACTCATTTAGGATTTCACGCGTCGGAAAACACGACAATGCGGGATTATTCATATCAGAAAGTTATTTAAAAATATAACTTTGCATTAAAACAAAAATATCAAAAAAAGGCGCAGCTCCCTGCTCCAAAAATAATTTAGATTTTGTCCTCTTTAGATCAGAGACTCTTGGGCTTTGGTTTAAGTGCACAGGCGCTAATTAAACATTTAAGTTGGCGCCAGGTATTACCGGTGACCCCAGAGCTGGTGCTTTCCTCGCTCAACGAATACGTAACGCTATACACCAAAGAAATACTGCATTAAAGGTACACTTCCACCAAAATTTAAAATTTGTTTTATTTTTCTATTTATCAATTTTTAATTATTATTACACACAAATATAAATATTCTTAACCTTATGTAGGTTGTAGGATATTAATAGTTTCTTATGAAAAGAAATAAAAGCTAGTAATGTTTAATATACATCGATTATAAGACAAAAAAGGGGAACGTGAATTCGTTTGAGGGTCTCAAAACTCCCGAAACCTTGAGAAATTGCAGAAGACCAAAGAAGTGCTTATGACGGTTAAGAAAAGGAAACTTGAGTATTTTGGACACGTTTTGTGTAACACCAAAAAGTACGAGCTCCTTCAAGTCATAAACAAGGCAAGGAGGCAGGTACAAGGAAACAAATATTTATATTTTTAAAGCAAAATCTGAGTAATCACCCATTTGTGACAAAGGAGAGGTTTGGTAAGGTCCGACACTACACGATACAACTTAAAAAACCTCAAGTTGAAGGTTCAATTTCCAACAAAAGACAAAAGACAACAAAGAAACAAAAGGAAATAATACATAAAATTGTAAATCAGACTTAGAAACGACCATGGGTTTATAGTGAAATGGAATATTTCCATCTTCAACTTTCCATTTTTAAGTTTAATTTCGTATTCAATATAAATAGTTCGCTACATTTTTATAGGAATAAGGCTCTATGTTAAAATCGAAGGTAATATAGCAATAGGTACCGATTGGATACGATTGTCATTATATCCTCTCCTTAAGGAACTGAGAATGGGAATTTGGTCATATTTTCTAGAGCTAAATAAGTTTTGTTTGACACAAACTATTATTTATAGAACCGGGTCAAACGGGCAGGAGGCTCACCTGATATTAAGTGACACCGCCAATGGTCACTCACACCTCCATACTCGCAAGTGCGTTGCCGGCCTTTTTATGACTTCTGTTTTTTATGATTGTATAGATCTGTGTCTGTGTCACTCGCCTGGCTTTGCAACCCAAAATGTGTTCCCAAATACTTATTTATTATATATTTATAGAAGACTTTCTTTCCAGACGTTATATTCGGAGCTTCATCGGTCTTTATCCATTTTTCCATTTATTTATACACTTTTTGTTTTAATTAGCTTAATATTACTAGCGTACGGCAAGCGTGTCATATACATTTTTACGGTACCGGTATCTATAAAAAAATGTGGCTTGGTAGTACGGTGGAAACTTAATGCCAATTCATAAAAAATTGAGATGGGGCCCACTTCAAAAACATATCGAATTATTAAAAATATTAAAGAAAACGCAACAGCCGTTTCGGACGTTACAAATATGAAGATATGCATTAATTAATTTGTAAATGAACAATTTTGCTTAAATACTAATTGTATTAAACGAAGGTATGATGTAAAAGAGCAGTGTTGGCCTAGTGGCTTCAGCGTGCGACTCTCATCACTGAGGTCGTAGGTTCGATCCCCGGCTGTGCACCAATGGACTTTCTTTCTAGGTGGGCATTTAACGTTCGCTCGAACGGTGAAGGAAAACATCGTGAGGAAACCGGCTTGCCTTAGACCCAAAAAGACAACGGCGTGCGTCAGGCACAGAAGGCTGATCACCTACTTGCCTATTAGATTACCAAATGATCATGAAACATATACAGAAATCTGAGGCCCGGACCTAAAAAGGTTGTAGTGCCATTGATTTTTTAAGACGTAGTAAAAGTGTTCTTAATTTTTTTTTTATTTTGATCGTTTTCACGGAAAATAAGTTTCATTGATGTGGTACAAAATTTATTCATTGTACTGATATTTAATTTTTTGTTAGGACACCGGAGCAGGAATGGAATCAGCTCTTACCTCGTCTTACAGATGTCAGCAAATATCGGGTTACTATTTATCAACATTTATACCTATTCGTTCATTGAAATATGGCCTTTAAATGACTCCTTTAGATGTAATTTCTTGAGATAATCAACTACTTGCTATCTATATGGCATGGACAGTTACTCTGAAACGTTGGGATTCACAGATAGAAACATTCAAAGCACAACATGTGAACGCAATCAAAATCAGTTCATCCATGACATGTTTAAAAGGCTGTGAAACTTTAAGTGGTACCTGTTCCTTTAAATTCGGGATAATATAACGGTAATTTTAAGTAAAGATAGGAGTGAAGATAAGTTAATAAGATTATTATTATTAACTTGATGGCAGGTTCGTGGACCTATACTTATTCCTGCAGGTTAACGACGTCTTAATCGTGAGATTTGGTTAATTAAGATGCTGGATTTGTTAAACAAGTATGAAACATATTTTAATACTAGAGTTTCTAGGTTTCTTCACTACAGCTTGAGTGTAAACAGAGATGAAAATATTTTAAATTTAGAACGCCACTATAGCTATATATGTAAAAATAATGAATGCATTACACACACATACTATAAATTCATCTACGCGAACAACAAAACAAATTAGTATTTAACTTAACTATTGTATTAATTATAGGAGCTAGAATTGGGATAATTTACGAGTAATAATAATACGAATAATATAGCCATTTATTCAGATCAACTTACACATAAACATAGTTCATTATATTAAATAATAAGGTTAAAAAAACTATTCTAACATTTGGATCTTTTTTGATTTCTGCAGATCTGTTTGCCAGTCGGCAAAGGCCTCCTCCAACCTTTTCCAGACATGTCCATCTTGGATCACTCTGTTCTTCATCACTCCTGCCCCTTGTCTGATGTCATCTTCCCATCTCTTTTGTGGTCTTCCTCTACTCCTTTTGTCTTTTGTTGTCATTTTCATTTTTAATATTATTGTCTTCCATTGTTGAGGATTGTGGTCTATGTTTTTCTTGAGATTTGTTTTCCTTCTTCTTTTTCTTTTTCACTTTTGGTTGCGGTTGTTACAAGTATTATATTGTTATACTTATATTATAATAATAATATTTAAGCCTCATTTATTCCTTCAAACATTCATCCACTTTTACAAAAGTAAGTCGTTCTTATCTGTTCTCTGCAAATTATTATTGATTAATTAATTGATATTCATTTATTAGTAAATTGTTTTATGTCCAATGTAAACAAAAATTTCACGAATTGTTAAGATAAGGCGCAGTAAATTACGGCGGTCGTATATTATAAGGATTGAAATCGTCTAAGATTTTACGTGAATAACACACCATTTAGGGACGGACTGGGTCACTCTGCGTATAAAAAACAGATGATCCCATGGGAACGATCATTCGGCACTTGGTTTGGGTGCGTTCGACTTCCATCTGGGTTATTCTAGTTTTCGTGTGATTTTTGATAGTGATGAATCAACAAAGTAATTTGGTAAGTTTAAATTGATGTTATATGAGCGAAGGTTTTATTAATTAAGTTAAATATAATTGCGATTTCTGTACAATTTTAAAATATTTTAGGAGTATAAAAGCGAAGAAATTGTGATTTTAAATCACATATTTTGACGTCAAGTCATAGTTACATCTAAGTTTCTATGTGCACTAAACGTCGTGAATATAATCTAAAACGTTTAACAAATAATTTAATTTTGTTTTAAAAGAATAACGGAGGTTTCATAGTCGTAAAATAAATTTTCTATATGTAGATTAGATTTTTTTCGAACTGCCCATTATCTCAGGTAGCCATTATTGAATGTTAAACCAAATAGATCATAACCTGCAGGGTTACTCAGTGATAGGAAGATGAATAAGCATGTAAAATAGGTGTTAGATTTATCCGAAAACTTCGTCTAGCAAAACACCTGCAGGGCTACTCACTAAAGCAAACAACGATTACAATGTTGCATTCATTCATAAAAACAAATTGTATAAAAATTCGCCGAATGCCGACAGCCAATTAGTGATAATAGAACTAAAATCAATAGTTCTTTAATGCCTTGTTGTATTCAGTAAATTGTTTTCTATATCAATTCAATTGGCTTTAATTAATATAATAAAAATACAACATCATGATAACTTTGAAAATACATTTTTATCGCTATTATTTCAGTCTATTAGCAAGATTGATTTATTATTTTTTGTAATTGCGTCTTTAAATCTTTGTTATAAGGTATAAATTTTATTGACAAGCATGAAGCAAGTCATTGTTATATGAAGCCATCAATGCCGGCCGATCTTTTGACGTGTTTTTATTGATACATAATATCATATTCATCGGTTCTGAGCCGCATATTAAAATGATTTCTCATTGATGTTTGACTTGGATAATTACAATGCGAGCGTTTTTTAACTTCCGCTTAGCCAGCTTGGATTTAGAGTTTTTGTGAATGTTATTTTATCCCGGGAATGTCGGAGTAAACGCTGCCTAGAAAATTGTATCAAATCTTTAATCGGTGTGATTTTTGTTTTAAAGCTAACGTAAAGTAAAGTAATTTACAGAATCAATACTGAACTACATTTCAACATTTCGAACATTCACCCATTCTACATTAGACGCCAACGAAAATAAATTGGGTAATTGTTAATTGGGCACATAGAACAAAAAATTGAACGCAGTTATTTCGTATCCTGAGGGCAACACTGCTCATAGAAACTATGGATTAAACTTCACAGAATCTGTTTGATAGTTAGCGATCCCTTTTTCAAATGCAATTTCAAAGGGCTCTCACATATGTGAGACGGATACGTGAATCAGCGATACGTATATCCGTATCGCTGATTTCGAAAGCTTTGTATTGCTTTGAAGCTCAACATTTCAGTCGGGTTCGCATTTTGTAGCTATTTGAAGTTTCAGAGTTTCGTGTGAAGTATTCAACATCGCTACTCAATTGAAATGGAATCAAAGTTCAACTTTTATTTAAAAAAAAATAAGATTTGCCTTAACTCACTTAACATAGCCAGGTGAATGCTGAGGTGAATGCCTTGCAACTTCTTGCCACAACAGAAGTAAGACGCCTAAAGAGAACTAAACCTTTTGAATTAATAAACCTAGTGTTTTGAATATAAGTGCAGGTGTAATCTCGGGAACACAAACATATTGTCTAAACATTATAGAACACTGTTAATGAATATTACCTTAGTTTAAGCTATTCACTAGTATTTTAGATAATTATGTCAATATAATATTACTTATTACTTATTAGCCATAATTATTGTATAGGCTAGATGGTAATTTATGTAAAGTCGCACTCTCTTCCTGAACTTTATTGTAGGAAAATTAAAAAAAAAATGTTATATACATCAACAAATATCACAAAACATGTACAATACAAGTAGACAAATGTAAATAGTCTTACAAAAGCACAATTCGAAATTCGAAATGAGTAATGTCATTTTTAGCTGTAAGGTTGTGGATTCAAATCTGGGCTATGTTTCTACGTTATAGGGAAGAACACCATCGTAATGACTTAACAGATAAAAAAGGCAAGACAAACGCAACGGAAGCTCTCCTTCCTTATATTTATATATATTATGAATAAATCCACAATGAATCGTACTATAGCAATTAAAATGTTTAAGACTTATTCGATTGATGGATTCATGATTACCCACTCCTTTGTTTAACATAACAACAAAAAGTGATCATGGCGATGTCAATGGGACAACAAAATGGCTCATTAAATTTCTCATGGGATAATTATGTATTCGAGATCGATTTCACCATTATCTAATACATTTTTTACTAGAAATTACGAACAATAATTTTCGTAGGTCGCGTAATATCAATTAATTTTCCATATTTATTTCATATTTAGATTTTGATTGTTTTTTTTAAAGCAACTATTTTATTAATTTTAACTATGTTGGTTTTAGTTTTTACAATAATAATAAATAGATAACTAAAACTAAAAGCAGTAATATTAAATACAGCAAGAATAACACGCAAGTTTCTACGGCCAATTTTAAAGGCCGCAACGCACATGCGAGGCCTCTGGCGATGTGAGTGTGAGAGAAGCGATATCACTTCACATCGGGTGATCCTCCTGCCTGTTTGCGCCATACATTTAAAAAAAGAACTAGATTAAAACACATCCTAAGCTAAAGTAAACAGTTACCAATAATAATAACAACAGCGAATCTAGAAGTGTGTTCCCTGTAAATGGACTTAGTAAAAATATAATAAGTTTTTGGTCAATTATCGAAGGTCTATCGTATAGTCCCCGCTACTTTTTATTTACTAACCTTTTTTTTTCAGGTATTCATGCTAATCGCCCTGGCGTTAATAGCGAGCACAGAAGCCTTTTTCCTGAAATGGGGTTCAGATTCTGGGTGAGTGTTTAGTAAAGATACCCTAATATAAATTTAAAAAGTTTGGTCACTTTTAATACTGGCAGCATTTCCTCGCGATACTTATTCGTTGAGTGAAAAAGCACCAGCTCTTGGGTCAGCTGTACTACCAGGCGCCAACTTAAATCTTTAATTAACGCCTGTGCACTTGTACCAAGACTCTCTACTTCAAGTTTTTGAATTAATGTTATTTTATTTTAAAAAACCACTGTTATTATTTGTTATCTTTGGTCTCTTTAGTTTGTTTGTCCCTTTCGCACCTATTATACAGGACATACATTGGTTTTTTCTTGATAGCTTTGGTTTGTTTACACCTATTTTTCAATTAGGTCTATTTTTTTTACTAACAATAGATGTATAAAGTAACATACAATTATTAATATTAATAACATAAGAATTTTAAGCTCAGTTGTATATAATTACTTTATATGTTGCGAATGTTATATGCAATGCGATTTCTGTGTTTTATAGCTGTTGTTTTATTTTATATAGACTTTGTTGTTTATATTAGAGGTATATTTATCTCTGATAATAATTAATAAAATATATTGTATTAACTAAAGCGGGATAGTGCTTCAAAAAAAACAGTATGAGTGTATTTTGTTGGTTGATTTCTATAAAGGGTAAAAATTTACATAAAATGTCTCCAAGGTCTAACCTGACTTTCCGTTTGTTTCAGAACACCACAGCAAAAATGGATACAGTCACTACCACCGAACATGTCTCCATCCTACAGATACCAGTACATCTATCCTTACGAGTCGCGAAAGGTGTACCAGCCCCAACAGTACGTGCAACCAGAAGTCCAACTACAGCAAAACATGGCTCCAATCCCAATAAGTGTTCCCGCCGGGGCTAGCCTAACGCCCGTATCCCTTCAACACGTTCAATTGGTACCTTGTATGTGCCCAGTGGCCCCTGAAGAAGCCGAGAAGCTCCAGGAACAGAGTCCCGGACCGTACGTGGCTCAAACTTACACCCAAAGCTACGCCGTACCGCAACAAGTGTCGGTCGCGGAGTCACCGAAGACTCAAACACAACAATAAATATATTTTAATAATTGTACCGTTACATTTACAATTAAAAAGTATTTGTTACTCAAAACAAATGAACTACTTGAGTATGCGGATGGTATATATAGTCAATAAACCCAGTGTGGTACTATTTTGACAAACCGTTAATTCAAGTCTTCTTTTATAAATCGTTCGTACATTGTGGGTCATTAAAGACACGCGAAACTCGGTAATATCAATATTGTCTAAGAAAAAAGATTTATATCGAGATAATTTTAATATTACGATAAAACAATATAATTTATTTATGTTTTAAATAAGACTGATAGATTAAGGCAACAGTGTTGTTATAGATGGGTAACATTATAATAAATTAGTAATTTAATTTCTGTTTTATTTTGGTTATATAATATTTGTCACTGTTTAATGTATAAATATTTATATTTTATCACCATTATGTGCATTAAAACATTACTACTACAAGAACGTATCGTTCGTACGGAAAACGACTAGGCATGAGGCGCATCTCGCAATTCCGTGCTTTTAAAGTATCAAATTCATTAATACGCACTGTACATACACTCTTTGCTGATTAGGTTGCCACTGTTAAAACCAAGAACAGTATTCACATATATGTAATTACACACAGAAGAGAATAATTTTTAACAAAAAAATCTACACGAACTTTCAATATGTCGTATAATTTTGGAGGCATAGCGGTCAGAAGACAGGGTCGTCCAGGCTTTTAGGAAACTCATAAAGCTCAGCAGTGCCACTAGATGTATGCTGCAAAGCAAAACACAAATGAGGTCCAAAGTTTTTTCAAGTTAACATATCACATAACCGTCTATTGGTGCCATTGCCTATCAATAAATCTAGAACGCAACGAAAGTGATGACGTAAACGTTTTGTTCCGGACGTTGGCGTTCGTTCGTGCGAAGCAAGTGTTTTGCTAAACAAATTACGAGCAAGTTCTATTTACTACTATTGTAGATTATTTAATAGGTCGAACAAGTTTTTATACAATTAATACCCGCCGTACTATTACACTATGGAGAGGTTTCATAAGAAAATAATAGTATATTTTTAAAGAAAATTGTTAGTATCAATGGGAAGAGAGCGCAAAAACGATCGCGGCGGCGTTGTTGGTCCAACGACCTGGTGCTTAGCCGGCGGCACTGGAATCTAAAAACTAGAGTTAAGTATTTGTATATACTTAATTTAATATTTTTAGAAATAAAAGGTTTATTAAATAAACCACCTTGACCCTTTTTATTTAAGTATCAGTCCCATTGAAAGTATATATAGAAAAGAAATAAGGGTTCACAATTAGCTATGAAGCTTCTAGATAAAATAACGCAGCGACTTCGCGTGGTAAAAAACGACATGAAATCTCTTTTATCAAATTTAAAAAACACGATAAATGACAAATGACATCATAAACTTCCAAGCTACGGCGAGTTTTATTAAAATGGGGAATAAAACACCGAGTAGTAGAGTCATGGTAGACATACTTTACCAGATACAAGAACTTTGTAAACCTGTGGATCTCAATCCGATCTTTCATAGTAATAAATTAGTTGCATTGAAGAAACTAAAAATTTTCTTAAACCATTCAACGAAAGAGACCTTACAAAAGTGTGACTCCAATGAGATTATCTACTCATCTTTATCTCTTATATATTATTTCGGTATGCGGCTTAAAGTGGAAAAGTTAAGCGGTAAGTTGTGGCTTTGTTTCGCAACCAAACAGTTCAATACAGCTGAAGAAATATTCCACCAAGTCATGGAGTTTTTGCACCCCGAACACGGCGAGTTAGTCATAAAGACAACTATACGTTTTTTCTCTGAAGTGTCTCTGTGGACCTTGGAGAATTTCGTAGCACAAATTCTCGAACTAATATTATTTTACAACAATGGAAAGATAACGCTATTCAACGTTATGCTCACCGATATCCATTGTATAGTCTTCAGTGATATTGTATCAGCAAGGCATCGAACGAGAGTTCTATATGAGCTTTTGAAAAGTAAGAACTGGGTGATCGACAGCCAACATTTGCTACCTTTCGTGACACGCTTTTTGAATTTCTTCACCAATAATGTGAGTCATAAGCGACCGAGCTTTCAGCATCTTAAAAAAGGATTTGAAGTGTGTCTTCGGCGAATTTTCGAGCGAGCTTCAAACAAACATAAACTAGCTATTGTTAACACAATTTTGCATTGGTTTACAATGGTGAATATAGATAAAGAGAATGTGTTGGAAGTAGCCAATTTAATAGACTATGCGGCTCTTTTGTATGAAGTCGGTCGGTACCGCGAGAGCTTTCAAACAGGTTTCATTCATCACATCGTGAAGAAACTGATCGGTTCTACTGATGCTTTATACAGCTACTGTGGATGTCGAATACTAGCAAGATTTTTTGATCGACATAAGAATTGTTCTTACTTGATTGTCCCAACAATATATTACGAATTTTCACAGGTATAGTATTGTCTCTGTTTGATGAAAATATTAATTTTCCTTTCATTCAACATTTACAAATGTTCTAAATATATAACACTTTATTTAGGTCCCATTGAAAGTTGGGGAATATGATAGAAGTGACAAGGCATTCGTAAGAGAGCATCGGGAGTTATTCCACGATTATTTTGTTAAAGCATTCGAAACGAACCACTTCAATCAAGCTAACATCGAAGCGCTATACTATGTAATGTCATGTTTGGTATTAGAAGTGCCCTGCGGTTTGACAGCTGCAGCGGTGACGTGCATGGTAATGTTTGTTCAGGACTTTGCCATAACAACAGACATACCTGAGAAGTGTAGGTTCTGGCTGCATGCAGTGGTCCTCTCATTACTGTCTCTTATATGCTGGGTACATAAGGCCCCTGAGTTGTATCGATATGTCAACGAAATTGTCTCGAGACGAGCAAAGGATGCTCCACAACTTAATCCGCCGTTGCTGGATGATTATAAGATTGACAATGAACGCGCCAATTGGAATAAAGATACGCTGTTCTTTGAAGATTGGGAACTACGTTATGGACTTTGGAAACATTTTAGGAGTTCACAGGTACGTTTAGAATCAACATAATAAATCCAAGCAATTGTTTAACGGTAAATATATTTTTAAGAATTATTTAGACATTTAAGTTTTCTTACGGTAATAGTCCGTACTACGCCATAGCGTAGATTTTATTACTTGATCTTGCAATAAATATTCTAGTCACCGAAGAAGAAAAACTTTAAATTATGAAAAAAATTAATATGTGCTGTATTTTATTTAAGAAAACCAGATATATCCTTCTTTTTTTTCTTTTTTCGGCTTGATATTCTCCTTAATATAATATTTAGATAGCTAACCTTCAACACTTCTTCTGTAAATTATCCTCCCACCTCGTCTTTCCTCTGCTACGAAATTGTTTGTAATATAAATATTTTTTAACGAATACATATATAAAGCTATATTAACAAACACTATTAACATTTTTTTTTGTTTTAGAGAAATGTCTTAAAGAAAGAAATCCAGGAGAAAAATCGACCATCAATTAGTTTGAATTAACGCTATTAACATAAGAATTTAATTTTAATTATAAATATCGTAATGGTTTGTTTTTAATATAAGGTATATCTGAATTAAATAACCGCCATCTTCGGGAATAATATTATTTAAAGTCTTGAGTAGTTAGCTGTGTGAATTTGAATAAAAACTATGAGAGCCTACTTTCAAGCCATTTAGCTTTTACCGATGTGTGGCTACGAAGAATGTTATGAAATAGTTTTCTTTAATTCGAAATCAATGTTAAGAATAACACAATATTTATTGCTAGTTCTCCTCCACGCCCTTGATTTGAAAACTGGCAGTAAATTTGAATGAATAAATTATATTATGATTTCTGTGCCCAATTTGAAGAGAGTCAAAACATTTTTTTTGCCAATATATTTTACACCAGGAATAAGGATGGGTCCTGAACGTGGGAGTTATATACTATCTTTGACTATATACACTAAGGATTGATCAGAAACGAAGCAATGACTTCCATATGTCAACTCCCATACGTTTCAGACTTTGCTGTATAATTGTATAAGTATCCACAAGTCGGTGAAATTATTAAAATACAACAAGTATTTTATAGCCACCACGCCCAGTAATGACATTCATAAACAAATAACATTGTAAAGTACAGCAATTTACTCTCGTTTTCACTCTCGTTACAAGTTCGTATGGTAGTAGTTAAAAATTAATACATATTACATACCTAGAAACTTAAAATAAAGCAGTGGCGCTACAACCTTTTTAGGTCTGGGCCTCAGATATCTGTATCTGTTTCATAATTATTTGTCAATCTAATAGACAAGTAGATGATCAGTTAAAGACATGCCGGTTTCCTCACGATGTTCTCGTTTACCGAGTGAATGTTACAATGTGACCAACATTGTAAGAAAGTCCATTGGTGCACAGCCGAGGATCGAACCTACGACTTGAGGGATGAGAGTCGGCGCTGAAGCCATTAGGCCAACACTGCGCTTTGTAACTTATATGTAAATATGAGAAAACTCGCGAGAGGACACACATATACGTATATAATTATTATATACGAATATATATTCGTATGCGAGTGTTGTGGCCCAGGAAGTCTGATGCCATTATTGACACCATTTTTGAGCCCCTATTGTGGTAGTGGAGAGCCCTGTTGCCGTTAGGGGTATGTGACGGTACAATTATTCGTTATGTAGGAATCAGTTAAAGGCCTAGTTTTTTTTATAGAATAGGGGCAATTGGGTAGTAGGATCACCTGATGTTAAGCGGCACCGCCGGTATGGACACACGAATTGGCACGATCTTGTATTAAAGGACCTTAAGTTGAAAGTCTTCACTCAGAAACAGAAAAAGGCAGCTGGTTCCTAGAAAGCTCAGTTGTGGGGCGACGGACGTCCAGGTGATACGGGTGGAATTTCATACTTTGCCTCGATGACCGATGATCAAAACTCGGCGTCAGCCAACAACTCGCTTTTTAAAATAATCAAAATGGCCAACGGCCCATCTCCAATTAAAAACTACAGATACGCACATATTTTTGGATAGTATTCACTTCATGAGACAAAAATCCTGGTTTAAAATTGCTAAAGAAAAGTTTTTCACACGCTTCGACACGACTAGACACTCAAAGTCAGGTATGTGATGTTATTAGAAAACTCCAAAAACATTCAAGTAGAGAAATTGGGGACAGTTTTATAATTTGAAAAGTGCAAGGCCAAGATTAAACATTAGGCCGGGTTTTCGGACTCCGTTTTTGCAATAGAGATCAGCGTGAGGGTCGGCGCGGTCGGAGGTCTGCTTTTTTATTCACCCTAATTCTCAGCGCTTTGTATCGAGTAAGTCTATAGGCAAGCGTCTGCTAAGGCTTAGCAAAGATGCTTCACACGTCCTTCCTCTTCCATAACATTGATTTTGCACATCGCGTGTTCCCAGGGCACGCTATATAAAGTATAAACATCAGCATCTGCTTTCATTAATAGCTTGTATGTAATCGTGAACGCGTGAACGAATACCACGTTTTTCCTTTGAGTTTTCTATATTGTCTGCAATGGACTCCAGAACTGTGGTGAGTTAATTTTATATATAGTTCAATCAACTCTGCTTTGCAACTGTTTCTGTGCATGAAAGTAATTTATTGCTTGCGATTAGTGTATCTATATACTTCAGTTAAACATCTAATGTTAGCGTAGCGTGGCTTAGAGTTTCTTGGGTTCTTTCTTCTCAGAGTAGGGCTCGTCTTTGAATACAATTTATTTGATACGCCAACATGACCAATTTTACATGAACGAAATAATTTTATATTATTCATACCAGCTTGTATAAATAATATAAAATGTTGTGTTGTTTAATATTGAAACTGGTAAATCGTTTAAATAGACGGTTTTATAGGTTGAATTCGTCTAGAATTGGTTCTTATTGCACTTATAAACTTCAAGTGATAATTTAAAAAAAATATATAGGTAGTCTTCATACATAGATGGCTTGGTTAAATTGCTATTCTTGGAAAATTATATTTGATGTATATGTTACTGTAAAAGCTCGAACTGCAGTAAATCCTAAGATATTCCAGTAAAACCTAAGATCTACCAATTCCTATGGTAAATGTCCCAAAAGGTTTGCGATTCGAACTCTTACCACCATTCCGTTGGTAAATCTTAGGATTTACATTAATGGCACGGTAAATGTTGAAAAACAAAAATAATTATTTGACGACTCATTGGTCTAGTGGTTAGTACCCATGACTGCGAATCCAAGGGTCCCGGGTTCGATCCCCGGCTGAGACGAACATCGATGTGATGAGCATTTGGTGTTGTGCTTAGGTCTTGGGTGTTTAAATATGTATTTATATGTCTATCTATCTATAATATGTATGTATATCCGTTGCCTAGTACCCATAACACAAGCTTCACCAGCTTAGCATGGGACTCGGTCAATTGGTGTGAATTGTCTTTAAAAAAAAAAAATTATTAAGTTAGACTGGCTTATGTAAATATTATGTTTGTATTTCGTTGTTAAATTACAAATAGAGAACTACTGATTCAGTTAGACGTGATAGAGATTGAGATATTCAGAGATATACGTTATGTGTTTTTTCAAAATAATTTAAATAAGTTGGTATTAGTTTGTACTTATTACTATCATTTGATACCTTTATAATACTATGTACCTGTTTTGTCTAATAGTACATTAAAGTAAATAATTAAGAATTACTCATTGTTTTATTCCTAAAACCAACATCTACCAGCTGACGGTGGTAAAACCTAGCATATACTGAATTCGAATGGTAAAAGCTCGAAAAAATCGTCGTAATTTCAGAAATACTTACATTTACCAATACATGTCGGTAAATCTTAAGTCTTACACTTAAATCTTAAGATTAACCGTAGTTCGAACTTTTACAGTAACATATATAAACGTCAATTAATTTACTTCAAGTATGAAATTGCACTGTACCGTTTAAGAAAAAACTTGTTTAAATATTTACTATTATTTAAAGTTAATTCATTGCTTGGTTAATGGAAACCCTACCATTTATTAACATTATCTTCTATCCTATGCTTTATAAGTTAATTTTACTGTACTGGTTAAAGTTTATAATTTCGTTTGCGATATGTTTTCCCTACTGATTATTGGTTGACGATCAGCCTTTTACTCCCATATCCATAGAAAAACTAAGACGCCTCTTTAATTAGTAGTCAGAGTTATTAGTAATTTTATTTCTCTATAATTTATTCCAGCTATTATTTTGTTTGGCGATGTTCCTTGCAATTCTTGCGTCTACCGCTGCGGGGTAAGTTAACTAAAGAATATATAAAATATAATTAAATAGAAATAATATAATAAAACAGTATTATCATTTAATTATTTGTCTAATATAATACAAAATTATTATCATATGTTTGATGCAATTAATGTCCCGTAAAAAGAGATAAGCGAGAAACATTTTTTTGCCGGGAATTCGTTTCCCGTCAAAACAATAATTTATCAATTAATCAATGACTCCAAGTTGATATGGCAATGAGCCACGACCAAGAATGTAAATCATAAATAATAATTATTATTAATTAGTAACACACATTAAAAAAATACTATGATATATTTACATATATAAAAATGAAGTGCAGTGATAGTCTCGCTACAACTTGAGAATGGCTGGACGGATTTGGCTAATAAAGAAATGTTGAAAGAATTGATGTCCCGTCTTTTTACAAATAAAATATTGTTACTTGGTTGTCATATATTTATAGATGCTTTCAGTAATTTGTTCTTTATAGCTGTAGTATGAGGAATGATGAGGAAAAATTTTGTAATAATTTTTACACAAATATATGATACGAAGTTCACTGGGTCATCTAGTAATTATATAAATTGGGGCTAGATAAAAAAACTACCATCTGTTGACCTTATGACGATTGTGTTTATTAATATAGTTATTTAACATAAATAAACATTTATTTATTTATTACAGAAATACATCTTGCCTGTAACAAGTGTTTTAATAAAAACAACACAAATAAAAAACGAATATACGTTATATATTGAGCAGAATTAAATACAGTATTATTTCTGATATTTTAAGATTACCTTAGTAATTAAATTACAATTTCTTTTATAATCAATATTTTGTTTAATTTCTGCTTTTTAATTAGTTAAATCTATGTATGAAAATAATTCGGTCCTAACTTGTCGAATATATATAGTAGATTAATAAGCTAGAAGGTTTATTAAAATTATTATGTAAATTTTATATAAATAAACCTTAAAATGCTCCATCGACCCTTTTTTTTTATTGTTGGGAAATTCATTTATAGAAAGCTCGCACCAGGGCAACTGATTAAAAAAAGATTGAATTGCCACGTTGAATTTCCATCCTCGAACATACATTGATACATCTTTCAGCCAAACAGTTTCATTTTTATGGAGCCACCGTACAGCCCAAGGCAGAGACAAAATTTTAAGTTAAATTTTCGTTCCAATCGGAACTCGATACCCCGAGCGTAGTAGTCGCCTAATAAGGCCGCAAGGCTATGAGGCTCTTACATATTTACCAGTATATTTATTTATTTTAAAAAACAGGCATATATAGTTCCTTTTTCTATGAAACTTCTGTGTTGAAAATCACTTTCATTATGTCATTGCACTGAAGCCCAAAAAACAGTATAATGACAATTCTATTATATCACATGCGTATAAAACCGGAAAGTAATGTCACGCAATACAATAATAGTGAATTAAATCAGTCGAGCGTGAAGGAAATGCGAGGTTTTTGTGTATGCTACCTGTTAGGCTGATTGGTGTAAACTTTCTTTCGTGTAATGTGTTTGGTGTTAGACATTTTATATTGTTGACATTCTTTTTAGCTTCAAAAACCAATAAAGCTACGGTTTCCTAGAAAAGCGGTGCCGTTAACTAACGGCCGTCTTTACGGTAGCCAAGCTGTGGTTTCCTAGAAAGTAGTGCGACCGTATTTTTGAAGTGTTATTCTAATTTCGTTCCACAAATTTTGCTTCATCTGAGCTTGTCTGTACTCTTTGGGTTTGATATTGTACAAAGCTTCATGAATTTTAACAAAATCAATTAATTGCTCATCATTTTCGCTCGTCCAAGTCATTGTATTAATTAAATATGCGCACCGCTACATGCGAAAAACGTTGAACCACTGTTTATCACCGCTATGACGGCCGTCATGCAAATGACAGCACCGCTATTTGACGTTACGGTGACACTCAACGTTCTCTAGAAAATCTACTCCGATGTTATTTATAGACAACGTATGGGTGACGTCACCCAACGTTACATTACGGCCGGTAGTTAACGGCACTGCTTTTCTAGGAAACCGTAGCTTTAGCAGTTTTCTTCCATTCGATTGAGACTTGTCATCATCTCTATTTTAATACAATACTGGATACTGAGAGAATACGTCGTGTTGTTTGACCAATTAAAATCGAGCGCAATGTTTCGTTTTGCGTTAATTCTCATCATGCAAGGAAGTCCCCTCGGGTGTTGTGTGTGTGATATTGTGAGGAAGTTGCATGGATCTGGTTAGCGCTGTGCCTTTTTAAGTTCTCATATATATCCTTTGTATAACATATTTTCATAAGTATTTGAATGTCCTCACGTTATAGAGTAAAAATAAAATGCCGGCAGTTGTTTTAATTTATAAGAATACTTAAGAAACTATTTACACCGTTTTAATTCATAAAATAAATTTTAAAACATGTATTTTTAACTTGGGAATTAATTTTCCCACGAATTTGTGCATTAGATTTTGATACAATTTGATCTGTCAAGCAGCGTATGCGTTTACAATCAGGGCTGAAACGCTAAGTTGACGCTTAGTGATAAGTGTGAATATTCGATTTTTACATTGGTGAGATCAATATTTCTCAGAATATTTCGTATTGCATCGCCATTCATGCATACGTGAGATTAGCTTTTTAGTTTTTAGTTTGTTTTATTAATATTTTTTTTGTATTACTAAGATTAAGGTTCTATAATTTTTTTATATAACATTTGGTTATGCACTTCTCGCACTTTACTCATCGTATTTATTTTTTTAGTTTTTCCCTTACTAGGGTTGCCAGGAAGAGATCGCTTGTTAGCGATAAGGCCGCCCGTTTCATCCCTTATTTTTTTATGTATTATTTGTGTTATTTTTAATTCAACGAATAAATAAATAATTATTTAAATTTCTTATGTAACCTAGAAATCTCTTAATTACAGTCGTACCAAAAAGGTGGTGATCCACGTCCCATACAAGGTGAAGAAGGTGCGGCATACCCACACGGTCTACAAGACAGTGCACCATCACCACAAGCACCACGATTTCCACGATTTTCTGGAGCATCCCGGCGAGGAGCACGAACATTTCCACCACATGCTCCGCGATGAACAGGCGCATTCGCAGCCTGTGCCTTCTATCAGCATACCGAACTTCCTGCCTGATGTACCCATGGATGTCGATTCTGAAGACGAGTACCCTATAATTCCCACGAGGCATATGTTTTTTAGGCATGAGTAGTGTAAGTGATCAGTTATTTAAATCAGAATAAGAAACTATATATTTCGTGATAGTCCAGTGATCAGATTACGGTGACACAAATCAAATTTTGAGTGATGGTAGTTTCCTCACGATGTTTACCTTCAAAGCACGAGCACGTGTTAAACGGGCACTTAAAAATTAAATTAGTTTTCCATTAGGTATCCATTAGGCACAGCCGTGATTCGAATGCACGAACGGCGCCCATTCAAGCCACTAGGCACTGCGCTGACACTGCTCTATACGTATAACTCCAAATTCCGTATTCAACATTATTTACCTATATTATATAATTATAATTTTATTACTGGAGTGTTTCCGAACCAATTCGACTTAGGGTCCTTCAAGAAAAGAGCGTACCAATTTATAAAAGGCCGGCAACGCACTCGCGAGCCCTCTGGTGTCCATGGTATCACTAACATCAGATGAGCCTCCTGCCCGTTTGGTTCTATAAAAAAAATGAAACTCGTTGATAAACAATTTCACCGATTTGATGAAACTTGGTCTAATCCCTAATATCTGACAAAGTATAAAAAAATTATATTATTTGTATATAATAAATGAAAACGGTCGTCAACCAGTAGATACAGGGCTGGTAATGCTAGTAGTTTTGTAATATAAAATAAATAGAAGTTAAGTAACAGTTTTAGGTTGAACCAAATGAATATTTTGTATGTAATGTTATTTATATATGGTGAAATAAATAATTTTCACAGAAGGGTAAATAATCGATACGCCTCCCGAGCAAACCCAGTTAGAGCTTATTTACACGAGCGGCACGATGCCGACGGCAGCCGTCGATCGATATCGACGCTTGCAGTTTTTTTGTGTTTGTAGCGTGCCGTCCCCGCCATTTTGTCAGTTGACTTCAAATAGTTTAGTAAGTCTGAGAATCGGCTACTATCTATCTTTCAAACCCCTAATTGATAAGGGGTGTCCACCACAATTTTATTTTCTTTATTATATGGCATTAAAAAATACATTCAACCCTAAATTTTCACCCTTCTACGATCAACCGATATTTTTTAGTATGCATAGCAGATAGTTATTTTATTGAACTAAAAAATGTTTCCTAGAAAATTATACATGGCAAAACAACGTTTGCCGGGTCAGCTAGTACCTTATATTGTTTACCTCTAGCTGCAAATATTTGTCTATTTTTTTTCAGGTTCTCACTAATGAATGCAGCTTTCGTCAAGGCATACCACAATGTTGTACAAAATATTTTAAGCATAATTTATAAAGTGAATCCAAAGTGATCTTGAAGGAAGCCCGTCTAACTTTATTTCTTTCGATTTCTTAAGATGTATCATTAAAATAAGAGAATTTATGTGTTTTTTTATTTATTCACTATTATTATTCTACTTCGTTTTTTCGACAAATAACAGTATTTTATCCCTAATTAATTTATCTATGTACTAAAACTTGCCAACGTTCGGTACACTGATACATTGGTAATAAGAAAAAAATACAAGATTGAATGTGACAAGCTATACACAAACAAGGCAAACATAACAAGTAATTTTCATAAATTATAAAAAGTAAAGGAAAATTGATTTTAAAATGTGAGGGGAGCAGCTATCATTATCAGAGGATATTCAAACTTTACCAGAATGCTCAATCTGGATATCGGTATAAATAGTGCATGATTTTAATTAGAAACTTACTTGTCTATCAGCAAAGTGAAATAAGAACAGAAATAAAGAGAATTATAATTTGCTAGTGTCCTTTTGCTGTCGTTAATCTAAGAATCCCTTCACCGTATGCGACAGGATACTCAAAATTGTTCCAAGTGCCTCGTACTAACACGAATGATCTGTATAATTCGCCAATGTTTCGGGTTTTATCTAACTATGACACTAATTGAGGATGTTTTTGATATTTTCCATCTCACCAAAGAGGATCTGAGAAAATATTTGACGACGCGGAAAGACTTAAACTTTCTTTAGCAGTCACTATTTAGTTTTTCTTTGAAATAATAATGTGGTCACAAAACCGATTAAGTATTGATTAATTTATCTATAAGCAATATGCATTAAAATCATATATATTTGCTAGTTGGCGCTTAACATAATAATTGTTCGACGTTCGATACTGACCCACCATGGACATACGACTCGTATCGAATCGCAATCCTCTTTCATCGGGCATATTTCCTGTTTGATAATCTATGTTATACAAAGACTGAATATCATCTATGCCAGTTCATTGCTCTATGGTATCACATAAATCGAATAGTATCCGCCATTAATAATTTAATGACCCCCATATTTAAGGTATTTACGAAACCCGTCCGACACTGAGATAGTTTATTTTACCCTTTTATCTTATCTGTCGATTTGTGTCTTTTTTATTGACCTTAGATTTTAATTGTAGCCACTAATAATACCTCTGTATAAAGGTGTGTTTTCTGTCAGATATGAAGTTTACATTTACAAATATTTTTACACTGTGAACAAATCTTTTTTATTTTATTTTTCATAAAATCTGATAAAAGCCATCTGATTGCAGATGGTTAAAAAAACTGTGAACAAATCTTGTCCCTAGCCAGTTTTCGGCTAGAATTTTTCACTGAAAGAGAGAGATCGATTATACGTATGGTTGTGTATTGTATTATGAATATGATATTATATACAAAAGTAATTTCTAAACACAATTGCTAACGGCTCATAAGTTTAAAAAAAAATTTTGTTAAAAGTGCCTATCTGATACCTTAATCCGCTAAAAAACTCAAATTGGAAGTTATGTTATTATTTGTTTTACTTTTTAATATTTTGTAACATTTACCATAATTGTCATGTATTTTAGATAGCATAGCTTGTAACTGTACCGTAGATACCATTATATAAGATGTGGTGATAATTAAATAAGTAAACATCTATTATATTAAGTCGATTGCTATACGCTAACCGCTCCTCTTGAAACCGAGTTCTAAAACAGGTAATCACCTACGGGAACTATTAATACAGTTATAAATTACAGAACACCCATACTGTCTTTTTATGATAGTTAAATACGAGTCATCACTTTGTAATAGGATAACCAAAGAAGTCTTTGAGATAATATAACAAATTACTTCCTTTTACCATTTTTTTTGGCGGGCGGCGGTTGGTTACTGTGGCGATATTCGCTAGAATATAATTATTTGGATTTGATAATTTATTCATTTTATTAGTAATCATAACAAACAAATATACAGTATTTAATTTATTAAATAATTAAAAATAAATATATATATTTAAAACAAATTTAAAAAGTTTGGTCCCTGTGGCAGTGTACATTTAACGCTGTCAGCATTTCCTCACTGTATTGCGATACTTATTCGTTGAGCGAGGAAAGCACCAGCTCTGGGATCACCGGTACTGTACCAGGCACCAACTTAAATCTTTGATTAGCGTTGCGACTCTACTCCAAAGGGAACAAAGTCGAAGTAAGAGGAATTAATTGAGCCTTTAATTATTTTCCGCCAGCTCTGCGGCCTCCCCATCTTTTTTGCTTGTCCGAGGGAGGTGAGATGGGGCAAACGTGTCCACACAAGTAGCATCCCATACCAAAGCCCGTCCCATCTTCCAAGGGATCAACGACATTCCATCCGGCCGCTTGCCATCGTCTATAGCGTTTTAAGACATCCTGATAAGCAAAATGTTCCCAGTAAGTCTAGTTTTACTAAAAAAGCGAGTCAATTTGTAAAGTTAGTAAACCATAAGGAATTGATTTTACATAAGAGTTTTAAATTGATTTCGAAATCAGGAGGTTATCAGCGTAAATATAAGATTTAATATTGTTGAAGTTTGCTTATATTTGTGTATGTTTTGTTCTTAGATCTACAGATTTTATAGAAACACGTCGAATTAGAATCGGTTTAGGGGTTTTTGAGATTCTACGCATATTCTATATTTAGTACTTAAAGTCGATTAATTTTTTAAATTACTTTTAAAGTGAGAGTAATCTTTCGATTAATTAATAAAGTTCCCAAATAATCTTTGCGTTAGTATTCATGTAATGTATTTCTGTAAATTGTAATTTAATGAAAGAATTTAAAACATTTGTCCTATTTATCGAAACAGCATAACGGAAATCAATTCTACGCTAAAGTAATATAGCATGTAACAGTTACAGCATAGTCGAGAACTTGAATCAAATGCGTTGTTTTGGAACGCGAAATACTATTTCAAATAATAGCAAAAAAGCTCATGGCGCACGCTTACTTCCCCAACGGAAACTGGGTTCTATGCCTCTACAAATAAGAGACAAAGTAGCGTACTAAGTCACGATAAAAGTTCTCGTTTTGTTGACATTACTGGTTTATTTAAGTGAAATTAGATAAATTCACCTCGCCGTAGCCCGCTGCCAATCTGTTCCTGAACACCGTCCGTGTAACTTCGTTGAAAGTGAATAATGTGAATCGTGCCTACGAAATAATGGATCTGTTGATATATTTGTCGGTGCTAGTGTTTTGTTTTGTTGATTCAGACGCTGGTGGACATGGGGGCAAACATCAGTAAGGCGTCATAATTTAAATGATTTAATAATTTATGATTATTATAATTGTTAGTTTTGCCACTCATTTACACTGTATTAATATTTTACTGAACTTCAGGCTATGCGATGTGTTGACTTATTAAATTGCGATTGTAATATAACTTAGGCGAATATAGAAAGCTTAAATAAGTATTAAAGATTCTAAGACATGTGTTTTTCTTTCAGTGTTAATTTGAAGATACACCTGCCAGAGTTTATACATCATGACCATCATAAGAAAGTTATAACGATCCATCATCATCATCATAAACCAAAGAAAGAACATCACCACCACCATCACCATCATAAGCCACATATACCTCACGGACATCATCACCACCATCATCATAAAAAAACAGCGACACATTCCGTTTCTAAAGGTCATTCGAATCACAACAGTCACGGCCATGGGCATCATCACGGCCATCATGGACAGCACCATGGACATCACGGTCATCACG